TTTCAAGTTCTGCAGAATGCACAAAAATATAATTTTAACAACACAGTAGCATGGATGAGTATCCATATGCACCTCACTATCCTACAGGTATAAATGCCGCAGTGCACAAGGCTCCAGCACCAGACTACACACTGACATTTACTGGCCAAATACAAACGGACAGCGGAGAGGGGCCAAGTTCAGGGTTACTGGTCAGTAACGCACTCATCGCCGCTTGCAGCATGCACCAGGCTCCGGAGAGCAGCAGACTGACAGCGGCTGTCCAGTCTCTGGAGCTATCACACTCCGGTAGTAAGATAATGCTACTTACCGATTAAAGCATTTAGGAGTATTCCCAAAAAGCAAGGAACAAGGCGGCGGCGCCTTGTGGATGCCATTTAAACACTTCTAGAAAATATTCCAGCACTTTGCAGAAAACAATGTGAGGTGAATAGATGGGGGGTAAAAAAAATAAACACACACACACACACACACACAGAAAAATCCAGCTTCGGCTACTACATGTTCCGACCTACAGTGCTACACTTTGGTGGCTCGCTAGGGTCGAACAAGCTTTCGCCATTTTAACCATCTATCAGGGAATCTGTCAGCATCCAGCTCTCTCTCCCTCTCCTCCTCACTCACTCTGCTGTATCCTCCCGAAGACAGCCCTCCTCCCTCTCTCTCTCTCTCTCTCTCTCTCTCCGCATGCATGCACGCCGCATGCATGCACGCACGCACGCAGGCACGCACAAAAACACACACACTGAATCTGCTCTCGGAACAAAAGAGCCGACGGCTGACTGCTTCGCTCCCAACGCATGAGAAACCTGCAAAAACTGCACGATTTTTGCATGTGAATACAACAAATACAACAGATATCCTACTACTACTAATAGTTCTACAGATATTGGCTGGTAATTACAATATTACCAATAATAGCAATAGTCTTAATCACAATATCAATGAACTAGTTAATAATAACTGGTAATATTTGATTATAGCTGACTTTGATGATAACTGATGATGTTTCTAAAAGTGATCAGGATAAATTAACGGATTGTGACCACAACGTGTGCAGTTTGTGGGAAACTCATACAGATCTTTCTTCTGCCATCGGTTGCACACGTGTAGACAAAATATTTGATGAAGCAAATGACAACAAAACAACAACCATAAACCATTTTGTCCAACACATTGCAGGTTTTAGTGTCATTTTTGTTTTTTTTAAAAAGGCCCCGTTTCCAATATTAATAAAAACACACAAACACACACAATAATAACAATGTTATGAAATTCCACCTGGTGGATGAGTTTTATTTAAAGCTGATGGTTCAGCACTAGTGAACCTGATATGATAAATAAACAAGGAGGACCTCTGCCACTCAATTACAACAAAGCAGCGGTTGCTTAGCTGTACTCGAGCTCCCCCTCGTGGAACAAACATGTACGTCGGTTCTCCAAAAAAAAACAACAACAACAATTTGGCTACTTGAGTTGCCATTGTCCAGTCCCATGCATGAAGCAATGTTATGATAAACTGATCAAAAATCCTAATAGATGGACAACACATCTTCACACTTCCACTTTCTGAAATTGCTTTTATCTGTAATCAGGCTACATTAACAAATTTAATAAACTATTACAATTAGTGGTGCTATTAATGATTCTTTTTATGATTGATGAATCTCACCATTATTTTGTTGATTAAATTATCTACTGTTTCAGGCTATAAAATATCAGAAAATGCTGACAAAATATCATCCCCATTACCCAGAGTCCATGGCGACATCTTCAAATGTCTTGTTTTGTGTGACCAATAGTCCAAACCCAAAGACATTCATTTTTAAACAGAGAAAAGCAGCAACTCTTCATTTTTGAGAAGCCAGAATCAGAGAACCATTATCTTTTTTTCTCTATTTCTGCTTGAAAAATGGCTACAAGGATTAATCCATTATCACAACAGTTACAAATGATTATTTTTCTGCTCAATGATTAATCAAGTAATCAACTAATCATTTCAGTCCTAATTACAATCATGAGATCCCTCAGCATGCTTACTGTAAACAGATTTATGTCAGTGGTGGCACATACTGTGTGTAGACATTATGCAATGAAACACGAGAGAGGAATATGAGAACAATAACAACAACAGTATCAGTATAGGATGAAACAGTATGTCGTGTTGCTGTAATTTAAAGCTATGTAAAGCAATGTAAGTGAACACGAGGACAGATTACTGAACAGGTCTGCCGCAGATCTGTTCAGAACCTCTGTGTGAAGTGACCATTAAAAGTCAATCAAAAAATAACAGAGTGAATGTATAATGATAAATAAACAAGGTAAACCTCTAACATGCAATCACAACATATCTGTTTGTTTAGCTGTACTCTAGCTCCCCCTAGTGGAGCAAACGTGTACTTTGGGTCTCCCATCATCCATAAAACTTAATGTACAGTATCCGGAAGGGAAAATTAGATGAAATCTATAAATTAGCATCAATCTAAGGGCACATTGACATGGAAGGGCTTTTCTTTTTTTCTTCCCCTAAATGCACCTGAGACAACAACCTTTTTGGTAAATTTTTAATTAGTTACCTGTACCTCATTGCTCTATTGATCCTGGTACCATTCTATAGTGTTCAGTACACCACAAGTTAATAACATTTTTCCAGAGAAAATCCAGTAATTTTATCCTCTAGATATGAAAATTTTGTGGAAAATCCAGAAAATGAATGCGAAGTTTGTGTTGCAGAGCTTTGTTAAAAGGCCAAAGGTCTACTTCATTGTGATATCATAATTTTCTGCAAAAACACTTCTGGTCATTATTCAATGCTGTGATGCAATGCTGTCACAGCAAGGGGAGATTGTGACCATATTTCTTGCAACTTGGCGGAGGCATACAACCATGAGGCAATGATTCTAGTTTTTTCTTTTCAGTCCCATTAAACACCTCAAGACCCCACAGATTTGGGAGCCAACTTATGTTGACAGCCTACTGAGCTACCTATAAAGTAGTTAAAACTAGCTCCACCTCAACCAGGTACTGCTCAGTGTTACACACTGATGCCTTAGTTTTAACCATCTAATAAAGTCTTAGCTACTGTATATAATAGTATACCACTCAGGAGCCATTTTTTCTGTATGAAGATTACTTTCAATGTGCATCATTAGTTTTACCTAAGTAGAACTTGTAATGTTGTGTATTTACACTGTTATCCTGGTACGTTTACTTGAGTAAAGGATCTGAGTAGAGTACACCCCTGACAGTGAGGCTGGACAATAATAGGGAGATTAGGGAGACCTTCTTTATTTTTATTAAATAGTCTTCGCTACTGGCTTATTATTTGGGGAGTTTGGGATTTGTGGCCAGGGCCTCCATTAAGTCATAAAGAGAGCTTCAGTATCAGCTGAAAACAGCAGGTGTTATTTTGGTTGGGGACAGTGTACACCAATTAAGGCCATCATTGGTATTTGTTTAATCTGCTGAGTGAGGTATTTCAAACCAGAAAGGCCAGCCGTCCCATTAACCTCTGCCTCTGGTAATTGGTACAGTGTGGTTTGTGAGTTGTTGCACTGCTTTGTGCAATCCCAAAGCTGTTCTGAGAGAGATTATGCTGATGGTGATAATGGTGATTTTTTAAAAGGATCTTGTGTGATGTTTGTGATGTAATTCTAAGTGATTTGAGAGTTGCAGTGCGATTCACATGGAATACATAAAAGAGGATGAACAACAATATACAATATGGAATCCAATACAATAACCCTGCCATTATTTGGAAGCCTATAATGCTCATCGATCCACTTTTGAGGCTGCAGTTTGCAGTGTGGTTGTACTGGACTGTCATATACACTTAAGCATGCACCACCATTTACACAGGCCTTAACCGATGTCTGTATCATTCAACCTAAGGCTTACTTTATCATTTATAAGCCATTATCTCTATCCTAGTATCTTCTAGCATTTAGAAAAAACACGGTCACTATGTCTTTTGATGAGTTCTTTATCATCAAGTCATTAATAAATGCTCATTGGTTTGTCACTTTCCAATAAGTAATCATGTCTGCAAATAAAATTGTTTAAAAGTCATTTATAAAGGACCATTGATTTCTCAACAAGCAACCAGCAAAGGTTAATAAGTCATCTGCACTGATGTGCATTTTTACAATAACCAAGCATCAGTAAATAGTTAATAAATGGCTTGATGTCCTGATGTCCTGCAATTCTCTTCCAGAAGGTTGTGGTTCAAATGGTCCGTTCAAGGGTATATGAACTAATGCATGTGCAACAATTTAATTTGCACTCTAGCAAATAATTTGCACCATAGTTACCAAAAGAACAGCCCCAATCTTATGGTCCTACATTCCTTTTTTTTCTTTTTCTTTTGCTTTGGTGTGGCTGATTGTGCCAGGCAGCAAGACAAATGTCTCCTGCAAAACTCCCACAGACTGAAGTGAACTAAAAAGCCAGGGCACAGCTGGAGGAGGACAAACACCAGCCAGAGAGATTTTTCACAACCTGGAAACCCATATATTGTTCTTAGTAATGATTTATAGGCCTAGCTGATCTATAAAGCATCTGTTAATCATTTATTAAAACCATTAGTTACAAATTGTTCATAAAGAATGGCTTATTGGGAAACTAACTTCTCTTTATTTAAACGATGAAATGACAGATTCCATAGTAAGCGAACATGTCTGCAACATTGGAAACGGCCACAAGATGTCCTCATCGTATTGAACACTTCAGTCATACTGCCAGCTCCAATAATGGTGTTTTTTTCTCTGAAAGCTCATACAGGTAACCTGCTTTGTAAGTCAGCGGACATCACATCAACATGACCCACATTTCAGTAGGTCACTTTACGGATTACACTTTAGTTCCCTGGATGTTACATAGGTTTAGAAATTCTCCCCTTTCTCATCATCTCTCTCACTCTCTCAGACACACACACACCATTCTGCCGACCAAAAAAAAAAAAAAGCCCCTGCCACTCCCCTTTATGTGTGGCTGGTCTTCTCGGGTAGAGCTAGGGAACCCGGCGGGGCACAGTTTCATTGGGGATCGGTGATAATGGAATTATGATCCATCTGCCATCTATTGATCAGGATCGAACTCGTTGATTTCAGTGTGTGATCAGCCGATGACTGCATGGTGGAGCCTTCATCGACCCGACGGGATCACAGCGGCATCTTCACTGCCCTCCCCACTTTCCGCGAGAAGGTGAAGCCTTTATAATAACACCGCAATCCGCTATGAGGCGAATAACAGGAAAGGCGAAGGATGAAACTTTGATCGAGCTGCAGAGCGCCACGGATTCACAGACTGGAGGTAATATAAAAATGCTCTAATTAATCTTTAACAGCATGTGGTGGTCACCATGTTGTGTCCAATTGCTATATTTTTGTGATCAGTGCTGTTATACTGCTTGTAGTAGCCTCTCTGGGAAAGTATGAGATGGTGCAAGAGTAATGCTTATATCACAGAACTGATTATTTAATCCAATTAAATTCAGGTTATGAAGAATATATCCTCATGTCAAAATTGGAGCCCCTTAGAACACAATTATAGCAAAACATAGGCCTAAAAGATGCAATAAACATAGTAATCTCCCAATTCAGCAGACAAACTAAATCCTTACATCAAAATGTCATTTTTACACTCATTTTAGTGTCTGTATATAATTTGGTTACTTGGCTTGTGCATATGTTTTGTCCACAACCTAATTAAATATGTTGTTTTTTAAATTATGTACTTTGTGCCATTTTCGGAGCTGTTTTATCCACCGAGACCGCGCACAGTGACGTCATACAGCAGCATAAAGTGGGTGAAGGATTCGGGTAAATTAGGGTCAGAACTTTAGCAGGATAAGCCCATCATGTAGAAATGACTTTCCTGTAAAACAGGAGAGTTTATACTGACAGTTAAATTAAGCAGTGATCCCATGACATGCTGGGTGTTTGTGCGTGCATACTGTTGGTGTGTGTTGGTTGAGGGGGTGTCCCTTAAAACTTGTGACTGTGAGGCCAGACTGGCCAAACTGAGGCACATTTGTAGGATCTGGGTTCATTAGTCACACCTATAGGACCCAGATATTGTCACTGTAGTTAAAGTCAAGTTGAAGTTAATTTGACAAAAGGACAAAATGATCGCCTGTAGAAATCCACGTTTTCCTCCTCTCTGTGATGTGTCAAGCTCAGTATTTATAGAATAGGATTCCCTTGTGTAAGATAGTCAGGCTTCACTGACTCTTTACTAAACAGCGAAACATTTTTCAGTCTGTGGTTTCATCCTCAGAATCCTCACACGGTTCCATCTGGAGGTTAACAGCCTGGACAGAAGATATGCTGTCCTCCATTAGCGTGATGGAATTCCTGGGGTATTCGTTGTTTCCAAGCACAGTAATCTCCAAGGACACAGGAAAATGAGTTGAAATTTAGTTTCCACTTCCATAGGGCAGCTCATATCCATAATGGAGGGCTATGGTCTTTTAATTCAAGTCAAGTTGATTTTATTTATATAGCGCCAAATCACAACAGAATTGATCTCAAGTTACTTTTCAAATAGAGCATGTCTAGATTCTACTCTTTATAATATTGATTACAGAGCCCCAACAATTACCACCATGAGCAAGCACCTCGCGACAGTGGCGAGGAAAAACATCCTTTTAAGAGGCAGAAACCTCGAGCATTATGGCTCCCATAGCTCCCACAGCATGACAGGTTGTGGCGATGACATTACTGTGGTAACATCCGGTAGCTGCCAAACAGAAAAAGGTGCTGAGGTTGCACAGAATTTCTTCTTACATTTGACCTATATACTAAAAGACAGTTCAGTCTGTGTTAGGCAACAGTTCTTTGTTTGGCCAGAAATGGGAAAACCACATAGGTTGTGTTCTCCCTAATATTTGGAATTTCGTACATCTACAGTTAAATGAAAAGTAAATTGAGTGTGGGGAAAAAAAGGAACAGGCCACTTACTGTGGTTAAAGACTAACTGCTCTGCAATAATGAGAGGCTCACTTACAAGTTCTTATTAACAATGCATGAAACCAAAAACTTCTATTTACGCCTTTAGATCAGTCTGATGTACAGTAATGGCTCTCTGTTCAGAACATGCTGATTTGATGTCGTATGCCTGTTTACATAATCAATGTCTTACTTAAGTCAGGGACTAAAATTCCTCTTTCGAACCCGTCTTGTTGACATTTTAAACTCCATAGTCAAATATGCAGTGGTAAACTTCATATCATTTTCAAAACAGAAATCTCTAGAAGTAACTGTGTCATGTCAAATAGGTCAGAAGACAAATTGGTTTCCAGCAGAAATCTGCAGGTTGTGAATCCATAACAGGAAAAGCACACATGAAAGAATAGGCGCTCTTGGAGATACAGTAAGTGAATGGCGTGTATTGACTGACCTTATCTTTTGACCCCTGTTTGTCAGAACACAAGATGAAGTGCAAAGGAAAAGTCTGGTGCTCTTACGATAAGAGCAGTGCTGCATTTTAATGAAGATAGTCCACAGAACGAGAGACTGACGTTTGCCGTTAGATGAGAATCAAATCCAGGAGTCCACATGCCCATTTTAGCTTAGCGGCTTATCAAGCAAGTTATTCATTCAGATACATTATTCATGAAGAAGATGTAGTTATGGCACTGTTATAAATGTGAACATATCGATTGTCTGTATGTCAAGCTCATTTCAGGTTTTTATTATAGTGGTCGTGAATGTTGTATGAAAAGTCACTAAAATGATGTCTGTGCTCTCGAAGCGTTCATTTTCATTTGCATACACCCACCACATTTTTTAGACATCTCTAGCTAGCTGTATTGTATGTCATTGAATTATTTTCAGTTAAAGAGACAAAATAAATATGAAGATGATTTATTCCACGGCATTCATGTTGAATCGGAGTGTGTTGAGTAAACATAATGAAATCTCAGACCTTTTCAATTTTTAAACCTACACTCTTTATTGTGTTAATCAGTGAGTTGTTAATAAAGACACGTGCTTGTTTATCTAGGGTGAGCTGTGGTTTAATAGACTTAGCTTCAAAAGCTTTGTCCAGGCACTTATCATGGCAGACCTTCAGCCACAGAGAGGAACCAGAGAGAGGGGAAGGGGTCTGTCTTCACCTTGTGTTTGGAGTGTGTTTTCTTGTTCACAGCTGGCCAAACACTGGTTCACAGCAAGTCATGGCTGACGTGGGACTACTGGGTAGAGACCAGATGTCCTGTGACATTATATATAATTTGGTGGGTGGTTATTTAAACCTAAAACACTTAAACGTAGCAGGCACTTGGTGATACCTTCATTCAGTAACACATTTTTAACTAGACTCAAAGCTTTTTGTAGCAGGTTGCCATTTTTTGGCATCTATCAGGGATAATTAGGCAATAACTCTTATCAAATGACTCCCCTTTTAAATGCTTTTAATAGAAATAACTCATATTTTTAAAGAATTTGTTTCCATTTAAGGTGAATTCACTCTGTATCTGCAGCCTAGTCGGTCAAGTGATCTTTCAGTCAGAGGTGAAGCAGAGCCAAAGAGTTGCCATGGAAACAGGCCTTGTAATTGTATTACCCCCTTTGATGGAGCCATGATACTGAGTAAGATGTGGAAAGAAACCAAGATCTCCTCTGAGCAAACTAGAGGACAGATACAGTCGAACTATTAGAGCTTGTTTTGTGTTTGAGCCAGAACAAGTTACAGACTTTATTTTTATGTCTCCAGGTGAGGGACAGCTGACTGCAGGCACAAACTTTCACTGGACTCAAGGATGAACTGATTAGATTTTGGTGCTCAAAGGTCAAGGTCACTGTGACCTCACAAAACACATTTTTAGCCATAACTCAAGAATTCATACTCCAATTACAACACAATTTAACATGCAAAGATATTTTATATCAAAATGGTGAAAGGTCAACTTCACTGTGACAATAATGTTGTGCAAACACCTCTGGCCACTTTTCAACACACTCAGGAACAGACGGAGAGATTGTGACCATATTTTCTGCCGCTTGACTCGATGGTGAAGGCATACAACCACAAGGTGGTAATTCTAGTTTCAGACTAAAATAAAATCTTCTGGTCTGTGTTTACAACATGGCTTCCATGTGCCTCCATTTTTGCTCTGGCCTATTTGCTTGGCCTTTGGGTGCATGGACATGAAACAAAAAACAAGCACTCTGGTAGGTCATTAAATTATGTTTTATGTATGAGCTGTACATGAAAAAACTGTGCCTGTAAAGGCATAGTATCTCTAGGTAATTGTAGCTTAACCTGATTAAATAAGGGAACAGAAACAAACATACTTTCATCAATTTGCCATTTAAACCATCCAAAGATGCATTAAATGCAAGCAAGAGAGCTGTTTTCTGAGTCCTGTCTGTGCTGACCAGTATTCCCTAGAAACTCTTTCCCTCAAACATGCATCCCCTAACAGACTGTCAAGCATATCAAACATGGTGTCTCATGAAGATAATACATTATAACCTCTACCCTGCACATGACCTCTTGTTATCGTGGTATATTTACACTGCTCAAGCTTTCCGGGGATTGTCAGGAAATCTCCCGTCTGGGACTTAAGTATCCTGAAGATAAGAAAGGAAATGACACAACAATGACAATACAACCCTAACACAAACAAACAAACAACTCACACTTTAACCACACAACTTTGTCAGGAGGATATTTTTTGTTAATTGTCCACAATTCTGCGACAACTGGGCAAACGACATTGGCAAATGAAGATCATGTGATATGTTTGAAAGCCCCAGAACACCTACTGAATAGACATTGATGTGAGATTGTTTCATCAGCTGCTGTTTCCAAGATCAGGAATGAACCTTGAAATTTGTTACAGTTTTTGTTTTTAAGTCTTAGCAAATTTGACTCCACAATTTTCAATGTGTGTTTTAAACTCACATTTGACTGGTGCACATTTTTCCCTTCGTGTGTATTTGCCCACTCGACAGGAAGTGTGTTGAGAGAGATAGAGAGGATGTCTTCTCATTGAAGACCTAGGCCCAGTTCGAGCTCAGGATGCTGTGGTTTCACTGTAGCATGATGTGCACCATGCCTCTGAGACAATCATGACTTACTTCACTCAAGTGTTTTCATATGAAATTTAATATTTCAGTGTTTTTACCATTTCATATGCGAGGGTCTACCACATTCACCTAATGCACCCTAATAATGAAGAAAGCCACTCATGCTTTCCTGATATTGTATAGTGGCTGACTCACACTATGATTCATTACATTTATACCAGAGTGCTAACCTTAATCAAATCAATATTTCATACACATCTACACACAATTCAGCCCAGCCTTTTTGGCCTTAATAAAACTCCTGCCTAGAGGGAAGTTGTAGAGCAATCTGTACCATGTTTGCGTCACTTCCCTTGAGAAAAGATCAATGCTGTCATAATGTCTGTGGTTAATTAGTCTGCGTTTGTTGATGTGCAAGGCAAAACAGTGATCTGAAGAGTTAACAAACCGAAAAAAAAAAGGTGTTATCTGTGGTTTAACTGAGTGCAAACAACACACCCACACAGCTTGCTTGAGTCATTATAAAAAACAGTTTGGTGTTTCACTGAATCAGATGTATACTACGCAGCACGCTACCAGCAGCGCTCGTTCAGATTTTAGGTTGTTTATTTTTAAGAAGACAAGAATGTCACAGCAATTAATAATCATGAATGTTTACCTCTCCTGACCAACAGTTCAATACTAACCACCTCCTAACCTGTGTCTGTCTGTCCTTTAAAGATGGTCCTGCAGTGTTGACCGCATTCAGGATAAACCTTCACTCAGGTACGGGCAGATCAGAGGCTTTATGTGACGCCTGTCTGTCCGTCCTCTCATTGTCGACCTCTGCTGATTCTCTTTTCATCCATTTGCTCTCTCTTCATGCTGAACTCTCCTCAATAATTGACCATGTTTCTGTCTCTGTTTTGGCTGTTAATTATCTGCTGCTTTGTGGATCGTCTGCTAATCACACCCAGTGTCTGTGTATCTGATCTTTCAGCCTCTGTCTCTGCTTCTTGTCGTATCTGCAGAGCCAGGTTCCTGGTAGTTAAGTGTGCTGTGTCCTGTGTTCATGGCTGGAGTGTCAGATCAGCACTGATGCATGTACTCATATACTGCAGTGAGGCATGTGCACGTGGTAATGTTTCAATTGGGGATGGGCAATTTGACCATGTAATATAATGACTATATCTGTCAAATAAATTTTGTGGAGGATAAAATATAAATACATAAGTAAAATACAAGCACCTCAAAATTGTACCTAAGTACAGAACTTACATAATACTTAAGTAAATTACATTCCACCACTGCTGGTGTACATGTGCTTTTAGCCTGTCCAGTGTCATAAATACATGACAAGTTTATGATAACTTCTTGATATTGAAAACTATGCATTATGTATTGTACTTGTGTGGGTAAGTGGGTGTGTGGGAGGCTGACACATCCTTTCACATCCTCTTGTCAGACAAAAACTAGTTGCTGGATGTCAGTTCAGATTGAGAAATGCAGGTTCCCCTCTTGTTTTGATGACTCACTCTCAGGGATTCAGTGAAGAGGGCCGCTCTCCTCTCCTGGCTATTACTCATGCTGGCAGGCAAAGTGAAACTGTGGAGCACTAAACGTGTATCTCATCTGGGGGCCATGTACTTTATGTTTCAGAGGTGTAAAAATCTAGGTGGATTTTCTTCCCAGAGGCAGCCACCATCATAAGGAATGGAAACTTCTTCTTCCAGGTTGCAGTGAATCCGGTTTAGTCACAATGCAGCTGGGTGAAAGTGGATTTGTTTAGGTTGAGAGAATGTACAGCTTCTGCTGATTTATTTCTCTCTGCATGATCAGCACATGCCTCTAGGAGTTGATACATTGGCACGAGTGGCCTCCTATTCTGATATACTATACTATCCTATACTGTAGCGTTCCTCCTCTGATTTCTTTAATTATTCAGAGTGAGGGAGAATTGTCTGGTCCCAATTCTGATCAGTCCTCACTGGCCTCCAATACTCTGGTGAGTAGAGGCGAAGCAGCAATTGTGAACTTGTTGTCTTTGGAACATGGACACAGATTTCTCTATGGACCTGACCTGTGAGTGTTTTAACTTGAGGACTGTGGAGACGATTTGAGGAGAAGTGGGGTAATACCCAAGAAGTGCTTTTCCATTGCTTGGCAACATTTTAAAGCAGAGACTGTGGGCCAGCATAGTCTTCTCTGGTTAAACAAACATGCTGATTTTATGAAGGAGGCATTTTCAAGCATATTTCTATTTCCTTCCTTGGAAATGCCAGATTCTTACCAGCCATTCCTTTGAGCCAACTGAGCTAATACACAGGAAGCTGCTGTCATTTAGTACAGCCTTGTTAGGGGCGCTGAGCAAAGTGGAAAAGTGTTTTTTTTTTACTGCGTGCACCTTGTGTAGGTTCAGTTTGCCTCAGAGAGTTTGACGGTGGCCTTGGAGCTTATAACCCAGTTTTGTGTCCTGAAAAGGAACATTGATCTCATAAGTGGAGATGAGTTGACTGGTCAAGGAGAGTAATACTCAGCCTGTCAGAGCATTCACATGATATTTTCTGTGGTTTTGGAGGCTTTCTTAAATCTAAAAAAAGACTACGTCAAAACCTAGTGTATGACCAGACTGCCTATGGTCAAATGACAGAAGACAGTGCTGTGATTTCAGCTATATTTACTTATAAAATAATCAACCAGAGAGAAAGTGAAAAGCGACAGACTATCTGTCTAATTTAGTCTCTCACACAGCTCAGTCTCAGTGTGGGACCCACAAAAAATTGTTTAGCCTTTATTTACCTCAACTCCAGAATGTAACAGACTTTTATTTGAGGCAGGTCTTTTTTTCTAATTCCCTCTGTTTGATATGTTTAATTGGTCATAGCAGTATTTTAGTACAAAGCCTCATTTTCAGTCGTTCCCATTTGCCGTGTTAAAGTTACTGCATTCAGTCAGTCAGTCAGGGACATTCCAGATTATAGGGCTGGCCCCGCTGTTGCGGTCCAGCCAAAAATAACCTGGGTAAAATCACAATCAAGTCTTTGGCAGTGGAGTTTCACAGACTTGGGTGTTGCATTATGGGAAGTGTAGGATCCAGTATTTTTGGAGCTAGACCTGACCTGTACCAGGGACTAAAACTTATCATATCTCAACCTCTGCTGCTTCAGTCTTGACGATTCTTTTTTAAATCTGTCCCTTGTGAAAAAGAAGAAAAAGAAAAACACTGAAGTCCAACTCCTAAAACTCTGTTCTACAGAACAGCAATGGTTGGATATGCATGTGGTTTTGTGTTTTGCATGTGTCTCTGGATATATTAAGGGAATTTAGGATGAGAGGCTAGTTGATTTTGTCCTTGACTAAGCCTCTCAGGGGGGATGGTTCTCACTGCTTCATTGATGGTATTGCACGTCTGCTCCTGTTTTGTTCTCTTGCAGGGTGGTGTGTACACTCCACCAGGTGTTACCAGTCGGGTTTAAGAGTTTCCTTATTCAGGACATTTGCGCTAGTAAGTTGTCCATCACATTCTCAAGATTTTAGTAGAGTTGGTATACAAAGAGGTAAAAAGTCTCTGTATCCCATATTATGACATCAGATCAAAAGCAAGAGAGAAGTATATCTCAGTCATACTATTCATAGAGTACAGCTTATGAATATATGTCACTGCCATATCAGGGAGCAAAGCTCAGCAGCAGTTGACCATTTGGGGCACTAGTTCCCTCTTAGGTGGTGGTTAAAAGTGTGACTTTGATTTCGAGACCACTGGAGGTTACTGGTGTATTTTTTCAATAATCTGTTGTTCTGATGGTGAACGTGTTCACAGGAGAATATCTCAGCTACTGTAAATAGACAGCATCTGAAGTGTAACTAGATTGCTTGGGTGGAAAGTGTGTTGGAAAACAGAGTGTCTGAGCTTTACTTTCAAATGAGTGTAATTTAGTTAATTTGAGTCCTCATAAGCCACATTTGCCGAGGTAATTTTGCATGAATGAATAACTGTGTGATTTCAATATACAGTTGTTATTTTTAGTACTCTGCATTTTTGACCCATTTTCATTTGTTTGTCTCTCTGAAGCAGTAAACGTTACACACTGCAGGCCCATTGCTTCTGTTTGCTCAAGCCAGAATCTGATAACTGGCTGTGGAAAGTTGGAGTATGACCAATCAAGTGAGACAAAAAAGGAAAGAGAAAAAAACACAGTCAGTGATGCTTCCCACGAGCAAAATGGAAAAATCACATTGCCATTTGCTCGTTATATACTTCAGGGATTCCTATGGTCTAACTCATTTACACTCCATCCTAGTGAGTCCATATGGAGACCCCGTAGTCCCTCCTTTATTGGCTCACACTGCTGTCTGTCAGATCATTGTGTCTAATCAGAGGTGGCTGTTCGTGAGTCTGTGCTGAAGCTGAGGCTGGAGATCTTTGTCTCCTTTGTGAGCTGAGAGTGTGTCATCTTGGGGGAAGGTTGGACTTCTGGTACAACAGCTACCCCCAGCCCCATGTCCCTCCTCCTCACTGATGCATATTCCAGCCACCCCCATGCAGGAAGTGCAGCTTTCCCACCATTCAGGAAATAATAGGGGGCGCAGGCAGCGAGCAGGGCAGTGCTACATGAGCACATTCCCTCTGCCAGAGTCTGCCACGCAGCAAGAGAGAGGCACTGCTGGAATGTTGTGTGTCATAGGAAGAGGAGTGTGTGTGTGTATGTGTATGTGTATGTGTGTGTGTGTGTGTGTGTGCTGTGCGTGCTGTTGTGTCTGTGTGCTGGTCGTGTGGCATGTGCTGTGTGATTGCATTGTTGTGTGTGTGTGTGTGTGTGTGTGTGTGTATCTTTGTGCTTCTCATCTCTCATTCTTAGCTTACCAATATGTTAAGAGTCTGTATCTGCTGCTGTTGCCAAGAGACTAGGATTTTTATTGGGTCCTTGTTAAATTGAGTTTGTCTGAGATGCATGTGTGGCCAATGCTCTTAAAGGGACAGTGTGGTTCGGAGTGAACCTTATTATTATTCTGCATATCACATATCCTGTGTGGATATAAACAGACCTTAAGCTAGCTTAGCTAAATTACTGCATGTCTGTGGGATAGGAAGAGAAGAATGCCTACTCCATTGCTAAAAGGTTTGATCCTGCACTGTCTATTTTTAGTCTAGCATTAGCATTTTTCTAAAATATATAAACAAGAACATGTGAAATAATAATCATGACATTATTTTTGTAACTATTGTTGTCCCTCCTTTGGTGTGGGTGCATGTAAACAAATGGATGTTGACATTTTTTCTTTAAAGAAAAGTTTCTTGCATAAAATCTGCAACTGTGTAAATACATACATCTCTACATGTTTAATTTGACCAGCCACCAGTCTCTGGGCCTTTCTTAGAGTTCAGATCATACTGATCGTGTAGCCATCCAATGACTGGGCTAATATTCAGACTATACTAACACGGCCTATAAACAAAAGGAACATACATAAGAGATGAATTGATACCACTCAAATGTAAAATGAACCAAAAAAAGCTGAACTAACCTTTTACTGTGTAAGACACATGCATGACAAGTGTCACAGGGAAAATATGAGGCACTACAATGCACACAGACACTTGTAAGTCAAAATGAACATCTTTAAGTTGTTAGACCATTTAAATTGTGCTCCCTGATCTTTAGTAGCAATCGAAGTTACGCATATATTAAATAATGACTCAACTTAAACTAACCCCACAACGGATATAGCAACAATAATTGCACTATTGTTTGTCGACACAACAATAGCATACTTAAGACTACTTTTTCAATTGTGAACAGTATTGGTACTGCACTCAGTTTTATGAAAACTTATTTACACAAAATTCCACTTTGGATACATACTGCACATGATTCTATACTTATTATTGTTGTATTTCTTTTGCAGATGAAAACAGTGGAAATGGCGTCAATTCACTATCTGAAAGAGGGACACTGCCTGGACATAAAGAAGTAAGTTTTGCTGCATCTCTGGGCGTTTCAACATATAGGCTACATCAGTTGACTAACTTAGCATAACGACGGGAAACAGGTGGAAAGATATAGCCTGGCTCTGTGTGAAGGGAAAAAAAGTTAACACATTATATTGTTTGTTTTTATTGGTTGGTTGAATACATTGGAATAATTGGTTGCTGGTAGTAGTTTCATATGTACTTTACCAACATAAGAGTTGTGTGGAAGAATGGCATATTTCCCAAAATGTTGAGCTATTCTTTTAATTGTCATATTGTTAAGTAATAATTTTTATTTTGATTTGATCTGTTACAATCCAAAATCAACTGCCTTACATAAGATTTTCAACAATAGTTAAGGTGCCTGTGTAATATTTCCAAAGCCTATGTTCTTTTCTTTATAGCCACCAGATTGTTTATGTCATTGTTTATGTTTGTGTGATTTTGGTCGACTTATTCACTGATCTTTTGTTGACTCAAACTCACTGCTGAGTCACAAGACCTCTGTGTCTCAAAGAGCTCCCCTCATTCCTCTAACAGTGAGAAAGAAATAAACTGTTGCTGCTCAAACACGAGCCTGTTGTCGGTCCGCTGGGTTTTCAGTGATACAATGAGGCCATCAAGCAGATGGTTTATCCATCTTATTCATAACACTGATTATATTATGTTTCTGTGATGTATGACTTCAGGATTTGGTGCAGCAATGGAACAGACTCCATTCAGCGCTAATCTATCTCATTAAGTCAGAACATGATTAAATAACTGTAACAAGCGAGTGTTCATGTCTCTGATACAAAAAATCACTTAGTGCAGTGTGAGCTGGGTGGAGTTCAATAACTGCGTACTCCATGTTGTTATTAAGCTTTCATAATATGGCTGAATGTACAGCAGACAGACGCACAAAAATCAACAAACTGGAACCAGTTATTCTCTGCCTGTTGATGTGTCTTTCTGTAAACAATGACATCAAAAATCCAACTGGAAAAAGAGTAGACCCTTTTTTAAAGTCAGGTTTAAGTGAAGCATTTATTGATATGGATAACTACATAAACTATAGGTTTTAAGAATACATCGTATTTCAGTAAAGTTCTGTCAATAAAAAATAATTCAGATTAAGTTCAAATTAAAGAGACTAAACTACGGTGGCCCAACAGGAATGCAAAAAGCCACAACACGAGTGCAAAAGCCACAATGTAAGTGAGCTCTATAGTATTGGTCTTGGTTGCCGGGGGACTATTATTGCTGGTGGACGGACAAGTAAATGTGTTTTTTTGGTTTGACAAAAGTTCAGTCTCATAAAATCCAAAATGACAAGCATAGACTGAAGCAGTATAGCAGTATCTTAAATTCAAGATTGGTTAAAGATTATGAGATTCGTACTGATGTACCGATCCGCATTATTGTATATTACATTCTCTAGATCACTTGATCTTGTATCCATTTCCATGATTTGATCATTTCCCGAAGAGTGCTGTTTCAAGGGGTAAAGATAACAGTTCATGTCTTAGATGCAAAGAGTGGAAGTTTCTTATACAGAATGGCCTTAGATGTCAGTCATGTCAATAAAAAAGCATTTACACATTAATGGGAAAAAATTATGTGAAAGTTTCAGAGTTAAGAAAATAATTGAAATACAAAACTTGATATAGAACATGTACATGTTTCTCCTCCACCATCAACTATTTTTATATAATGACAGCCTGTGATTGTGGTGTCCAACAGTTTTATGAGGTTTTTCTGCAGTCATCATGGCCTCCCTCTAAACTTTTCTTGACATTCTCTTGAAATACTTTTCATTACTATCCCGTGTACAGTGTTTGTCTAAACCCTGGAGTCAGCGGTTTTCAGTAAACCTAACTTACATGTATAATTCTGGGACACAGTGCGCTTCCCTCTGTATCTAATACTGTACTATATATCTGTCATTGTTGACAGGTCTGAGCCTGTTATGTTTGTCATCAAGATCTTGACAGTTTCATTTCTCAGTATCTGTTTTACAAGTATTGCATGTTTCTGTTTGCTTTTGCTTCCCATACTCTGTGAGAGAACGAAATGTGTCATTTGATGTCTGTTGTTTGTCCTTCAGACAGACAAGCTACAACCAAACAAAGACACCGTGTTCTTCAGGGACGGAGTACGAAGAGTAGACTTTGTGTTGTCTTATGTAGATGACAAAGATGGAGAAAAGAAACAGGTAAGTGTAAAAGAAAAGTCACATGTTGCTTGACTACTCAGTATTTCACAGTGTGACACACATTGTTACACCATTTACATCCAGAACAGGAAAGCATACCACAAAGAGGAAGTGAGAACACATTTTCCATAGCAATATGACATTCATGATCTGACACAATTGTTGAAATGAACAGATTTTTAATTATTTTGTAATAATGAGACCAGCTGTTTACCGACAGACAAATGTTAGATAAAGGGTATGCATGAATACATGCAGTTTACATCACGTGTGAAGTAAATGTTGTGATTATCAGTCACATGACGGGAGGACTGAGGATGACTGGAGGAAGAAGGAGGTGTACTTTCACAAGTCACAACCAGTTAAATCACTTCTTTCTGTGCCTGTCTCTCACCATCACAGTCAGAATGTGAAAACAGTGATGAACCCAGAGTGAATTATCATCTGATTCTGCAGCTCTACTGGGTTTTATGGAGAATTTATAATGAGCTTCAGCTCATTGTTAAACTGTGTGCACTGTCTGTTTTGATTCATTCTCATAGCTTTATTTTTGGTTGCAGCAGGCTGCTGTTTTCAACAACAACAAAAAAGAGGTCTAAAAACCCACTGTACACTGCTCAGCACTATAACAGAGACTTCACAGGTTCAAGTCAGCAGTAAACTGAGATTTCAGATATGCACTACTCATCATCATAACTTCTGCTTGTAAGTTAGCACTGTAGTTTGACTGCCTGCCCTCTGGAAAAGGGCCACAGAACATATGGACCAAAAATCAATTTAGCTTACTGTTTTAACATATACAACATGATTTATGTCCTATAAGCATTTATTAACTTCTCCACAGAGTTCAACTAGCTGTTGATCTAGAGGAAAAACTCAGGTTTCTCAACTTCTAACGAGCCATCAGCAAAATTCAGTCATTATAAATGCTAATAAATCCCCCACCATCTCCCCCCTTCAAGCCCCTTTTTGGACCAGTCGCCATGGCCTCTCTTTGTAATAAGTCTGTAAGAGTTTGATATATCAAACAAACAGTCAGACAGGATGAACTGCAGAATGCGTCATCTAACAAGAGACACGTTTTTTCAGAGGAACCAAGTGTTTTTTTAAGCTTCAATAACGAGGATAGGTGAAGCAGAATACACACTAAGGCTGTGCAAGTCTGCGTGGCTCTCATGGCTGTGGTGTGTGTTTGTGTCCACAGGAAAGGAGGAGGGAGTTTGAAGCCAACCTTGAGAAAGCAGGACTGGAGCTGGAGACAGAGGACAAATCAGTAAGAAACTCAATCACAGGGTACCTGCACCACCTAGTGGATAGTTTGTGGAGGCACATCATTTCCTACAGAAAAAGTCTTAAAGGGATGGCTCAGTATTAGACACATTAAACCGCTATCCTTACTTATTTTAAGGCAATAGTGTAAATAGTTACAATCTATTTATGCTTGTATCAGGACTCCAAAGACCAGAAGACATATTTCTTGAAGATCCATGCTCCATGGGACGTACTGGCAACCTACGCTGATGTCTTAAAGATCAAAGTTCCCTTCAAGGAGAGTGATATCCCTCATGGTCAGGAGGTCCCACTGGAGTGGCTCTCGCATCCTTTCCGTCTGCCAGAACACATAATGCACCCACAACCTGACTATTTCACCTACCCCTTTGACAAGACCAAGACTGACTTCTTCCTCATCACTGACAAGGATACGTTCTTCCCACCATCCACAAGAAACAGGATTGTGAGTATGTCTTCTCTCAAATCAGAATTCACTTGTTACATTGCCAGTTTCTCTTGGGTCTCATAGTTTAGTATATACACTGGACACAAATATAAATGCAACACTGTCTTTCCCTGAGTCGAAATAAATGATCTAAGATTTCTTCTATAAACACAAAAAATACACATATACAGATATACCGTGATGAGATCCTAAGGCCCATTGCCATTCATCTGCCACCATCGCCTCACAGTGCAGCATCATGTACACAATTCTTAGAAGCTTTAAACAGCCCAGTTGTTGCATGGCCTAGGCAGTCACCAGACATGTCACCCACGGAGCATGTTTGGGATCTGCATGTAGAAAAGCATGTTCAAATTCCTGTCAATGTCCACCAACTTTGCACAGCTATTGAAGAGGGGCAGTCGAAAATTCCACGAGCCATAATCAACAACCTGATTAACTCTCTACAAAGGAGATGTGTTGCACTGCATGAGGCAAATGGTGGTCACACCAGATTCAGATTCATTTTCAGATCCAAAAACACACTTCTGTAGCCCAAGTCACACAGTTCAGAACCTAATAAATGTCTTTTTTCAAAATAAAACTGCACATTTGAATGTGGCCTTTTATTATGACCTGGCGAAGGCACACCTGTTCAATAATCATGCTGTGTAATCAGCACACCTGTCAGGTGCACGGATGATCTTGGCAAAGGAGAAGTGCTCACTAACATGGATTTAAACACATTTATGAAGAAAATGTGTGTGTGTCTTAGATATTTCATTTCAGCTCATGAAAAATGGGAGCAAAAGCAATAGTGTTGCGTTTATATTTTTGTTCAGTGTATACTGTATGTGTATGAAAATGCTCTCACAAGTTAACAGTTGTTTTTACAGTGTTAGGAAATGCTTGTGCAACAATGAAGAAAAAAAAATGCATTTAGCTAAAAAGTTCAAATGAATCCAAATCCCTTAATCTCTGGTTAAATCCTTTCCTTGTTGCTAGGTGTTCTACATCCTGGCTCGTTGCCCGTACTACAAAGAGGGTCGGAAAGACAGAGACAAGACGGGAATCAAGCGATTACTCAGCAATGGGACCTACACAGCCGCCTTCCCACTTCATGATGTAAGCCCACATAGAATAAAGGAACGTTACTATGTAGATGTCAAACAATAAAAGTAGATTCACTCAGGTAAACAGCAACTTTTAGATAGTACCACTTCAGCACTCCCAGACCTTTTACAACTACTGCATTACAGAGGGAGATCACTGTGTCCAGCTACTATTTTTATCTGTAATTCCTTGCAGATCATGATTCAACGTGCAGGATTTATGATATGAAACATAGAGTATAAACAATTGCAAAAGCCACAACATGAATGCAAAAGCCACAACAACAATGTAGAAGCAACAACACGAATGAAAAATCTACAACACGAATGCAAAAGCCACAACACAAATAAGTACAATTCCATATTAAGAACTCAGCAGTAATGCTTCCTGGATCACACACAACATTAAAATGCTGCATATATATATATATATATATATATATTAACTCATGATGATGAAAACACATTGACACAAGCAGTTCTGTAGAATGAGTACATTTTACTCTCAATACTACCTGTACTACTACTACTACTACAGTGATTATTTTCGATCATATCAGTAGTTTATGTAGTTTATTTTTTCCCTTTCTACTTGAAGTTCTGATAATGCTGATGTTCAGAGAGGGTTGATGCAATAGTTATATTTTGGGAAACACGCTCATTCACTCTCTTGCCAAGAACTTTCTCTTTTATTTCCAAACATCTTTTGCTTGATGTTGTTCCACTGGTTGTTTTCCTTTCAGTGTCGATACTGGAAAAGGGCAAGAAATGCTGAGTGTGAGAGTGAGCGCTACAACTTGTACAAGAACTGGGCCAGTTTCCTCTGCTTTTACAAAGAGCAGCCTCTGAACCTCATCAGGTAAACGAACCGCATCTGAATGCAGTCAGACACTTTTTACTTTTATCACTGATTCTGACTGAAATTGAAATCTGAAATCTGAGTTAGATACCACTTTAACACAATTCTTTTTCTGCAGGAAGTACTATGGAGAAAAGATTGGGATCTACTTTGCCTGGCTGGGCTTCTACACAGAGATGCTCTTCTTTGCAGCCGTCATGGGCCTTATATGTTTCACCTATGGAGTGCTCAGCTATGATGACAACATATCAAGGTTAGTACCACCAGAGGGCATCAGGGAGCTGAAAACTATATGGCCAAAAGTATGTAGACAAGCAAACACTAAACTCATAGGTGTAATTCATGGGTATTCATATACTGCTATGACAGCTTCCACTCTTCTGGGAACGCTTTCCCCAAGATTATAGAACTGTGGAAACCATTTCTTTATGGACCTGGCTTTGTGCACAGAGGCATCTTCATGTTGAAACAGGAAAGGGTCAAACAGTTATAAATACAGCATTATGTAAAATCTCACTGTATGCTTTAACATTAAAAGTTCCCTTAATTGGAAGTTAACATCACTGCAGGACTAGAAGACGGCCTGCTCAGAACCTGATTCTAGATGTACATCATCATATTTTAACATCGCATTTTGAACAAATACTGCTGTGTTTACCTTTGATTATATTTATTTATGTTAATTTGTGTTTATTCTCTTTTTAGCAAAGAAATATGTGATGCCTATATTGGAGGCAGCATTGTGATGTGTCCTCTTTGTGATAAAAAATGCCCTTTCTGGAAGCTCAACTCTACTTGTCTCTCATCCTGGGTAAAACATTTGACTTCATACGTTACTTAGGCATGATTCTGAAGCCAGGAGTAACACTTATTCTTTATATTACATAGGTGAAATTCAATAACGCAGATCTTTTATGTCTTACAATGATTGAAATGTTTTTGTCAACCACATTTAATCCTACAAATACAGTAAATACTGTAAATAGTATCCTCCTGAGAAGGCAGTATGTCACCCTTTTTATGCCCAGCATGTCACTTCCTCTACTTCTCTAAGGAACTCATCCTTTTTCATATTCCCTCTCCCAGCAATCCCATCTGTTTGATAATGAGGGGACGGTGTTCTTTGCCATATTTATGGGGATTTGGGGTAAGTGTCAGTCTGTGCTACTTGTACTTTGTTTAAGATCCATCATACCCCCTCCTAATGTAGGACAGATTTTCACAGTTAAAGCCTGTTCACACTGATGCATCAACCGTCACCCATACTGCTTCATCCCAGAACGACTTGCCAGCACAATTATGTTGTTATGCTCAGGCAGTTGGATAGCTTGCCCAGCACAGTGCAGGACAAAGAATGCCTGAAAATTGGCTTCATGCGCAGCAGTTAGCCAAGAAGTGACGGGAGTCACGGCACAGCTGAAACACATTACACTTCAAAAAAAAAAAAAAAAAAAAAAAAAAAAGTTGGTGCAAAAGCCACAACTTGATTAAAGTCATAAAAAAATCTCTCCAAAACACACAAACACGCTCACACAAAGACTAATTTCTCATTGTACAACAAAATCTATGTTAGGTTTCATTTCCTCAAATCAATTTGACAGTAACTCTGTTCCTGGAGTTCTGGAAGCGGCGTCAGGCCCGGCTGGAGTACGAGTGGGACCTGGTGGATTTCGAAGAGGAGCAGCAACAGCTTCAGATCCGACCAGAGTTCGAGATCAGATGCACTAACAGGAGACTCAACAAGATCACTCAGGTGCTTTAGAACAAACGTTCGACAATGAGAATAAACATGACAAATATGCAATTTTAAAACAATAATTCTAAAGCAATAAAATAATAATAATAGTAATTAATCTTTCAGGAAATGGAGCCCTATCTCCCCATCACCAGCAAGTGTGCTCGCTTCTGCCTTTCTGCAGCCACGGTTTTATTCTGGGTAACTGAATGTTCACCTCAGTACACACAATGCACGCGTGCGTGCGTGTCTTATGTACATTATACCTTTAGCGGATAATTTCTATGTCCAGTCACATACTGTCAACAAGCTTTCTATGTGTGTGCTCTCTGCAGATTTCTCTGATAGTGGCCTGTATCATCGGGGTCATAGCATACAGGCTGGCTGTGTATGCTGCCTTTGCAAGTATCATTAAAGACCCTATGAGGAAGATCCAGGTGGTGGGCAGATTCATCACCCCACAGTTAGCGACTTCTGTCACTGCTTCCTGCATCAACTTTGTCATCATCATGATCCTAAACTTCTTTTATGAGAGGGTGGCCATTTGGATCACTGATATGGGTAATGAGGTTTCACCTGACATTCCCAACAGGCTAACTAAGAGCTTAAACACCAATGCCAGGAGTGTACAACAGAGTCGGGTTCATCATTATGTAACTTCATGCTCTACTATCGAATGTTGCTTGTAACATGAGATCATCTGCAAACCCTTTGCTTCACAGAAATCCCAAAGACGCACCTGGAGTATGAGAACAGGTTGACCATGAAGATGTTTCTGTTCCAGTTTGTCAACTACTACTCCTCATGCTTCTATGTGGCCTTCTTCAAAGGCAAATTTGTGGGTTTCCCTGGTGACTACTCTTACATGTTTGGCAAATGGAGCAAACTGAGAAATGAGGAGGTGAATTTTTTTTCTACAAGTAAAAGCAGCTTCATAATCTGAAGGCTATAAAATAGCAAGTCAAATAAAATAAAAGTGTGTTATATAAAACTAGTAGCCTCTCGCTGTCCTAGTGCGACCCTGGTGGCTGTCTGATCGAGCTGACCACGCAGCTGGTGATCGTCATGGCTGGGAAACAACTGTGGGGAAACATTCAGGAAGCCCTGCTGCCGTGAGTCCATCAAACCTTTATCCTCCAAATAACTTTCAGATAACTTCTTCCATTAGATAAAGACATTGTGTGCAGAACATATGGAGCTTGTTGCCAGGATTTTATTTGATTTTCATTTTGAACTGTATGATTCAGCCAATGAAAACAGAGATCATTTCACTGTCATTGCTCTCTGGAAATTTCTTATAGGCTTTGTGCAAAGTCCAAAATATGATTTTACCTCTATTTACTTATTCCCATATTGACATATAGTTCTTCTTCATGGGCTCGTTGATAGGTTGATGCGTAACTGGTGGAGTAGTAGAAAGGGGCGGCACAATCCTGAAAACCATTACAGCCGCTGGGAGCAGGACAACGTCCTGCTGAACTTCACCCAACTGGGCTTATTCTATGAATACTTGGAGATGGGTGAGATACAAAACTGGTCTGGCTGTATGATATATGAAATTACAATTCACATATTTTTACAGACTTATCAGGGAATGTCAACTGATCACAGCCAGCTGTCTCATTATCCTGTTTTCCACTTTCTGCCTTTTCTTTTTCACCACTCACTCTCTCCAACTGTTCTCCCTGTCTGTCGTTTCAGTGATCCAATTTGGCTTCATCACTCTGTTTGTGGCCTCTTTCCCCTTGGCTCCCCTCCTCGCTCTGTTCAACAACATCCTGGAGATCAGGGTGGACGCCTGGAAGTTCACCACTCAGTTCAGACGACCGGTGGCTTCCAAGGCCCGAAACATTGGAGCGTGGCAAGAGATCCTCAACGCAGTGGCCATTTTATCCGTTGTTACCAATGTGAGTTTTGTTTGTCAGGAAATGTAAAACACTATAGACATTGAGTGAGTTTTTTTTTCTAAATCTATATTCATTTTTACATCTTCACTTACAATAAATGTTTGGCAGCAGCTTCAAATTAGAATCAGAATTTTTACCTCATCGTCAAACATTGTATCAACAGCCTTTTGTGTTTCCCTTCGTTCCAGGCTTTTATCATGGCGTTCACCTCAGACATGATTCCCCGTATGGTCTACCTGTATGCCTACAGCAAAAATGCCAGCATGGAGGGCTACGTCAACAACAGCCTGTCGATATACAACATCTCACAAATCCCCATGGAAAACATGCCGGAGGAACGCAACAACTGGCTTGACAATGTGACCGACACCTGCAGGTATTGGGGAAAGAGCTTGTTGTGCACCATTGCAGTTTATAGTGATAACTGAAGCTGAAACCAGAGAATAATGAAAATTGTGATTAGTAATTGATCATCAACATTGTTGGCAATTAATTCTTTGTTGGTTGACTAAACTGCTTAATTGACTAAACATTTCCATTCTAGTGTTTTGTATGTTTTGTATGCCAGGAGGATACATTTTGTCTGCGTTTATAGTTAGTAGTGTTTGTATCTTGTCGTTGAGTTAAGCTTTGAAGTTCTGCGCTGTTGCATTTGCTACTGTGCACCAGTGCTGTACCAGTACACTTTTATGTGAATGTACACATTATTCCCTGTATGATGCCCATCCTGTTGCTGTTTTATACAGATACCGTGACTACCGTTACCCTCCAGGCCACAACATGAAGTACACTCACACCATGCAGTTCTGGCACATCCTGGCAGCCAAAATGGCCTTCATTATTATCATGGAAGTAAGACAACACAGTTTCTTTCTACATCACACCCTAAGAATAAATGCTCAGAATTAATTTAGGAAATTGATTTAACTCTATATCATGTGATTATCCCCTCCAACCTGCAGCATGTGGTCTTTGTGGTGAAGTTCTTTGTGGCGTGGATGATCCCAGACATCCCGTCTGATGTGAAGGCGCGGATTAAGCGAGAACGCTACCTGATTCAAGAGTACCTACATAACTACGAGGTGGAGAAGCTAAAACTCCAGCTGAGTGCCAGTTTCATCACAGAGCCACAGTCAGAAATGTCCTTGATGACAGACAAGCATGAAGTGTTGTCTGAGTGCCTGTAGCCCCCTGCTTCACTCCTCCAACTAACCAAGCCAAAAATGGACATGTCTGGGAGTTTAATACCCTGTTGAGAACATGCATATGCAAGGGCTTTTGTCTTGGGGATAAAAACGCTATTATCTTTTCTTTTTAAATAGACTGTATGATCAAGATATACTAATTTTATCTGCATCGAGGCATGAGAAAAAGGAAAAAAAAATCCAATGCAACATTTCATTTTGCTTACATACTTTAAAGCAGCTTCTTGGGTGGATGAAACTTTTCTGTGCCATAAAAAATGTTGGAAAGTGATGGGACAGAAAAAAACAGCAAGGAGCAAAAATAGTGTAACTGTAGTTTGTATCATTCCCCATGTAATGCAATCAAACTCTCCATTAGTCATAACCGAATGTCTTTGTATGTGTTGACAGAGTTAAAGTTTGTGGTGTTGAACATAATACATTAGATGTAATCACCCTTTAAAGAGCTGGAAATGATATTATTCTAACGTGCTGCATGTGATTCTTTTACTGAGAATACAAGATGAAGGACTGAACCGAGCAGACAAGAATTTAGAGTATTTGTCAGTTGTGAATTTGTTTGAATGATAGTTGTGGTCGGAAGTTCATATCATTTAACTATGAATGTAGAAAACACTCAAACTTACAAATGTTTAAATACATCGGATAGGAAACATTTATATGTAAGAAAATTAATAGGCGGTGCTTATTCCTCAGACAGTTTCTTTTTGAATCGTCTTTCAAATTGGTAGCTACGTAATGTTTAGTTCCACTGATCTTTAGCTGGGCTATAAGATTGTCAGTTTTGTTATTAGAGTGTGTTATATTTAGGGAAAACCCCTATTAAAAACTGTGCATTTGAAAACCAAGTACCTCCATTATACTGCAGCGTTTGGGGGGGAGGGGGCTTCAACAGTGTTGTGGTGAGACAGAAGCTGCAGGCTCATCATGTCTCATCTTCCAAATGTATTTCCAACTTGCTACGGGACCAATTATAAGACTTCTACCAAAAGAACAGATTACATGAAGGAAATGTTGGAAGAGCTGTGAACAGATCTTCTGTTTTAATACAATCATTTTGTGTGGATGAGTTCAGGTTGATCATGCGTCGGCTTTACTCCTCCTTGTGTTACACAGGGATAATAAATGGCCTATATATCTGTTCTCAGATATTTGTGTCTCCATATGCTGTAGGCACAAACAACTGTAACCTTGATTTCAGAGATACACAGAAAAGAGAAGAAGTTTTTATACCCTGGTTGGAATACGTGTGAGTGAGGATTTCAGTGAAAAAATAAATACTTAATGACTTTTAGTACCCTGCTCATACTCTCTAGCTGGATACTAAATGTTGCTGTAGATATAAAGAATGTTATCTATTTAAAATGGATTGTAGAGCCATTAATTTATTGATCCGTTTCTTCTATGTAGCCTGAAGCATTTGTATTTAGAGTTACTTCATAATCCTCTTTTTCATCAATTTAGTGGCAACACCCAATTTCCTATTTTCTGCTATTCACCACCTCATTTAAAGACCATCAAGTAGTGCTAGTTATTCAAGTAGCCTACAATGTATGCTATAAATTACTACTTTGTCAAGGGACCAGACAAATAAAAATCCTACACATTCTGTGGGAGACAGAGATCTGATTATATTTCTTCATAGTAGATAAGTGATTTATCAGATACTGTAAGACTTTTTTTTTTTAATCTGCTTTAGCTTAACATGCATGTGGATTTTATTGAGACGTCTTTGTGGTTTACACTGTAACTGATGCAGTTGTGACTCCAGCTAACAGCAAATTACATTTGACAGTCAAGTCAGTAAAAGCCTGACTTACTCCAGTCTCAGGATTAAACATCTCCCAATGTTTGTTGAGCATCACTTGGTGACATGATATGCAGATGTGGGCAAGGGTGTGTGCATGATCCCTTCAAGATGCAAAATGTATTTCCCAGCAAACAAATGCCTTAAACGTCTGTGTTTACTTGTTTTTGTATGATTTTGTAATGACAGTTTCCTATCTGAATTCAAAACCTGTTTCATATCATTAGTTTTTGCAAAGTAGCTGTTTTGTCTGGTTGGATGTGCAGAAATTGCTGTTATGTAATGCTGTTACATAGGTACACTCACTGTAGCCCATTCTACAGAAATGTAGTAAATAATATTCACAATAAATGAAGAAACAACTAGTTTGAGTTTGAGTTTCACTTGCACAAAACCCAAGAGCACAAAAACAAACAGATGTGACAGTTAAAGGCTTGTACTTTACGTGCACCTTCCCCCAACTTAAAGGTCACCTCTAGACATGTTTCAAGACATTACAAAAATTCCAAGGGTCTTTTCTACAAAAAAAGTTCAATAAACTACTAATCATTCATAAAAACACAGTATATGAATATGCAAACGTTGTCACAAAAGTTATACTGGTGGAGACAAGATGTCTTCTACACTGAAAAGGCCATTCTCATTATTTCCAAAACCACACTGGCTTCCAAATTAGTTGTCATGTTGCATATTCCCTCTGGTACATATCATCTTAAACTCATACTTCATGTACAGTATATTCAGAAAGTTTTCCAGACCCTTTCAATTTTTTGCCCATTTTGTTCTGTCGCAGCCTTATGCTAAAAAAAAACATATTTTTCACTTATCAATTTACACTCATATATCTGCCCCATACTGACTGAGATGTCTTTGAGATGTTTCTTCACCTTGATTGGAGCACACCTGTGGTAAATTCAGCTGATTGGACATGATTCATAAATCACACACTTGTCTATATAAAGTCTCACAGATGGCAATCCATATCAGAGCAAAAACCAAGCCATGAGGCAGAAGGATCTGCCTGCAGAGCTGAGAAACAGGATTGTGTCAAGGCACAGGTCAGTAGAAGGCTCCATAATTCTTCAGTGGAAGAAGGCCTTGGTAAGAGAGGTGACCAAGAGCCTGATGGTCACTCTGGGCTCTGGAGATCCTGTGTGGAGATGGGGGAAAAAACTTCTTTCAGATATGACGCTTAGAATTGAAGCCAAACAGTTCAATCTCGGTTTCATCAGATCAGAGAATCTTGTTTCTCCCAGTCTGAGAATACTTTAGAAGCTTTATTGCAAAGTTTCACTGAGGAGAGGCCTCTGCCATAAAGCCCAGATCGGTGGAGTGCTGCAGTGATGGTTGTCCCTATGGAAGTTTCTCCCATCTCCACACATGATCTCTGGAGCTCAGTCAGAGTGACCATCAGGTTTTTGGTCACCCCTCTTACCTGGGTGGCCAGTTTTAGGTAGAGTCCTGGTTGTTCCAAACTTTCAGGAGCTAAATTTCAAGTGTCATGGCAAAGGGTATATTACTTATAATACTACTTATACTTTAATACATATGTCAATATGATATTTCAGTTTCTCCTTTTTAATAAATTTGCAAACATTTCTAAAATTGTTTTTGCTTTGCCATTATAAGGTGTTGAGTTCAGATTGATGAGGAAAAGGGTTTTAGCATAAGGCTACAACATATGTAACAAATTGTGAAAAACTCAAGCAGTCTGAAGACTTTTCTGAATGCACTTGTAAGCGCAGAGAAACTTTACTGCTTCAGCAGATGGATGTGAAAACACTATAAGGCTTTGTAGTGTCCAACTGTGCACACACACCATTGTCCACAGCGAAGGTCAAACATCACAGTGAAGTAACAATATACAAAACTTATCTTATAGTTGAGGGGTAAAAAGAAAAACTAATATATAAAAACTTACATATAGCGTAAATAAAAAGAAAATAAATGATAACAGAGTAATTTAGTACCAATCAACTCAATAATTACACAAAAAAGAAGAAAAAAAACCCATGTAATTGTGTTTAAGGCTCGTATCTTAATGTTTCAGTAAACCTCAGTGTCATAAGTGACCACCAGGTGGCGGCCAATACCCACAAATAACGAGAAAGGCACTGATCGCTTTTCTCCCATCTCTTCTATCTTTTAATCACACATCTAAGATCTACCTTAAAATTAGAGGTATTATTATAATTATTATTATTAATAGCCTAGTAGTAGCAGTCGTGCTAGTAAAGTAATAGTAGGGTAGTAGGGTAGTAGGGTGGTAGTAGTAGCAGTAGTAGTAGTAGTAGTAGTAGTAGTAGTAGTAGTAGTAGTAGTAGTAGCAGGTTGTTATAACATGCATTTTTTATTATTTGGCTAAATTCGGTCTGCAGAGGAACAGGTATCACGTGAGGCTATATCAACATTTAAAAAAACGTTTACAAAATACAAAATTGTGTTCATGCGTCTGTGGGAGGATGTGGTTTGTCGGGGGGGGGGGTAAAAATCGGGGAGACGCTTAAATTATTGATGGATCTCTACATTGAGGAGAGGAGTCTGTTGGGGGGGGGGTCTACTCCTGCTCATTTGGTTTCCATAGCACCGCCCTCGTGAGAGCTGCAGCTTTCATATATGGGGTTACTGTGCTGTTTTTTTTGTTTTGTTTTTTTCAAAAACGTTTTTACGCATAAAATCGAAATAATAAAATTAAATAATGGAAGTAGAATTGTATTAGGCTATTATTTAAGTTTTTAAATAAGCGACGCATTGAACTGTAAAACATTTCCCTCCCTCTTTCTCCCACCTCCCGTAGTGTTTTATGAAATTACTAATAGAAACAGACTCATGTGTGTCCATTAGCATGTTATATTTTGACTCTGGCCTTCATTTGCGCTGAGCAGCTGGCCAGATGTGTGAAAGCGGAGCAGCTGTCGCTGACCTCGGTGCTGAACACGACGTCAGATGAACCTGCGCTCACCACAGGAGACACGATACAGCCTCACTCCCTCTTTGATTTATTGAAGCTACTTCAAACAACCACTTCTGCTTTCTAAACTTGAGAGCTTTTTTTCATCTTTCCATTCATTCTCTTTCCCTCTCTCTCTTTTTTGTCTCGGACACTGATCCATATCGGTCGACGACGCTGATTTTCAGTTTCACTCCTTTTCGTCGTGATGGCACTCGGCGCAGCTACTGTACTCCAGGCAGGGGATGAGTTGGTGGTGGATGAAGGCGCACAGCTCGTTTGATTCCTATTGTGTAGGCTACGCCGAGGTATTTTTGCTTCAGCGCTCTCATTGTGAAAATTAGAGTGGTTTGTTGGATCGTCGCCTCCCTGGGCTCAGATTTAGTTAGAAGTTCGTTCGTTGTTTTCCTTGTAGCCGCTGCAGTCGGCCATCCCGCGCCGTAACATGACGATTAAGCAGTAAAATAATATTGAAGAAAACAGGCCTACACACAGAAACTGGATATGGAGTCAGTGAGGACGAGAGCTGCGGCGGGGGTGAAGGAATTTGCGGGGAAGACCCTGGGTCATATGTACAGGTAAGGACAGGCTTTTTTTTTCATCTTGATTGGCGCGTGTGAATTACCTGATCTTTACAATTGCATTATTTGCATGGTGGATTTGAACTAGACACGAATCACGGTGATGTGTGGGTGTGAAGGCCACCTAAAACTGTTTTACAACTTACAGGGATCTCTGGTCACGCCTCTACAAGTGAGAAGAAAATTATGCAATCAAGTGTGTGTGTGTGTGTGTGTGTGTGTGTGTGTGTGTGTGTGTGTGTGTGTGTGTGTGTGTGTGTGTGTTGGCAGGGGTTTGGATGAACCTAGATGCCACTGTATGAAAACGTGCACGCAGTCAGTCCTTCCTGATGCAGGGGCCCGGACGTGAATCTCATTAGCAGACAGGTTATACAGCATTTACAGGCCGCGCGCGAATCTTTTTGGGGTTCATTCATAATTTATGAAACATTTCATATTATCCTTAAAGGCCAGTGACGCACGCATGTTAATAAACCTACACAGCCCGTGCCCCATATTAATTTCAAACCATCACTTTCTTCTTTTCACTCGAGATGATACTGATGATGACAGTTTTTGCATCTGCAGCTGAATGAATGAAATGTTAGACTTCCAGCTATATTTAGATTATTCCCTTGTGAATTTATCGACCATGTTCAATTCAAACATTTTGGGGCATTTCCTGTGTGTAATTTCTCCAAATCTGCAGGAAAGTTGGAGTAAAACTGTATCAGATTTATTTCGGATCAGGCAACATTTGATTGTCATGAGGTTTTAAGAAAAATGCATTTTTTGAGGCGTCAGGCCTTTGATTTCATTGCAAGTCCTGCATCGATTTACATTTTATTCGATCCTTTTCTGACCTTTTTGAATCAGCCTCGAAGTTTCTCAGTCGTTTGCAATTTAAATGATTGGGGTTTTTGTCATTTTGCTTCCTTCGTTTGGACAAACAACGTGTGGTGGATAAATGTGACTTTCCTGAGAAAAAAAAAAAAAAAAGGACTGAGGGATGCCCACAGACGTGTGTCTGGAGGCTGGAGCTGCTGCTTGGTCCCGTGAATGCTAATTAGTGTGAAAAGTGAGTGGGCTGCTGCAATGCGGTACAGTCAGGGACACGCTCGCCTCTTTTCAGCTCTACAGGCTTTGTTTGTTTCTTCGCTGTTTTTCTCTCAACGTGTTGTTTTCTTAAACGCAAATATATGAACTTATTTGGTTTGAAATCGTCGCCCATGTCTCTTTGAATCATCTAATTGAAGCTCCTAGATATGACGCTTCTCAGTGTGACAGACGAAAATGTTCAGTAAGAAAACAAAGTGTAGAGGCCTCTCCACCCTCCCTGCTATGGGCTGTTATTATGTTGATTCTGCAACAACTGCTTCCTGCACTTTCTTGACTGGAATGACAAACAAACCACAACAAACCACCCAAGATCCAAGTATCCAGTCCATAATAGAAGAGTCATACACAGTGGAAATAAATAAAGGGCCTTCTGAGAAATATATTCCACTAGAGGAGGAATTATGCATTTATTTTTCGAGCATCGTCATCTCATATGATGTTGTTTTATTTGGGGAATGAGTATAGACAGTGTTGTCCTCACCTGGCTGTTGCAGGGTGATAGAGAGGAAACAGAAAACCGGGGAGGTAATCGAGCTGACGGAGGATGGGCGGCCCCGAGAGGCCGCGGAGAAGAAACCCCCGCTGTGCGACTGCAAGTGCTTCGGTCTGCCCCGCCGCTACATCATCGCCATCATGAGCGGCCTGGGCTTCTGCATCTCCTTCGGTATCCGGTGTAATCTGGGCGTGGCCATAGTGGGCATGGTCAACAACAGCACCATCCACCAGAACGGCAAGATCATCATCAAAGAGGTGTGGCAACGGCAGCGAGAGCCCCTGACGTAAAAACAACGCAGGCTGCATGCCTCACGAGCCAAGACACCCCATTCTTATTTTATCAAGGAAAGGATAGGGAGCGAGGGGAGAATGAATTTCTCCACACGTGAGAAAGTCTACAGGATATGCGAAGGTCTACTGCCATATCAGGCCATGCAATTATTCCCAAAATCTTTACTGACCCCCCCAATAATTATGACTGAACGTATTTTTTTTTAAAAATTAAGTGGACATTTGTAAGATTTCTCTTCCTATTTAAACAGGCCTGCACATTTAAAAACATGCCCAAATCTTTAATGAACCATATATGATCACGTTTTATAATGTCAGCCTTATAGGCCCATCATGTAGGCCTAATTATAAATAGATTCAAAGTCAAATCCTTTATCCTGAGTTAAAAGCCTAAAACATGCAGAAACATGAACAGCTGACAATAATCTAAAATACATTTCCCTAAAAGCACATGCTTGCAGAAAGAGCAAATGTATGCCAGGTTAAAAAGGCATACTCACCTTTCAAATGACGTCTCAATAAGTGAATCCATAATATACCATATATATTTCTAAATATTAATTCTGCAATTATGTTTTTGCGTTTTTAGTGTTAACCAAATAATCATCTACACCCATTTTGAGCAGCTATTTACTTCTCACACAGCCTCTCCGTAGTTTTTCTGTGACATTACAGAACAGATGAATCACTGGTGATCAGATCTGTCATCCCATCGAAATAAACCGTTGCAGGCCTTTAATAAACAGGCCTGCCTTTAGACCAGCCTCTTCAGACAATAATGTTTTTTTCGTTTATCTCTCGATTGAAAGCCAAAAGAAATGCATAGTCATATATTCAACCCCAGTGTTACGTTCATTTTTTTTCTTATCCCTAGTGTTGTTTTCCATGTTATCTACCAGAAAGCCAAGTTTAACTGGGATCCAGAGACGGTGGGAATGATTCACGGATCTTTTTTCTGGGGCTACATCGTGACACAAATCCCGGGAGGATACATATCCTCCAGGCTGGCAGCAAACAGGTAGGCGGCACTCACCCTGAATTACCATAAACACAACACAGCCCCATCCATTTCCGCAGATGAAACCCCGTGATATTTTATGATTTTTGGCCTATTAAACGAAATTACTGAACAGTTGGCGCGACTCTCCACTCCTCTCACTTACATTGTGTTTTTTCTTTCTTTAAAAATAGATAGGAAACGAAACTGAACACATGGGGACTGGAATGAATTCAGTTAACAAAAAAAAAATCTGAGTAAAACAGCAAAGGCAAGATATAGATAAAAAAAAATTTATCTGAATTGTTTGGATGAGCAATTCACGGTTATAGGCTGAGCATCGCTACATACAGGCAGCAGACAGTCAGCTGCTCTGAAGTGATGCAGGGCTGCAGGCACGGCACCGGGCTGGCAGCCTCGCAGCTCCTGGTGTCAGGGCCTCCTGCCACCTGTTAATGAGCTCCCCGGGGGGAGCCGGGTTTAATCTGTCGCTCTCTCAGGGCAAGGACACCAGACCCTGTCTTGTCGCCAAAGGCTTTTATTCACATGAGCACTGCCAACGCATAAAGTCATTATAATTACGTTATAGCTTCCAGACAGTAGGCCATACAATAAGACAAAGGCGCATTTTAGGGATTGAATGTTGATATATAGACTGCTATAGCTACATTGCTCATGTAGGATTTTAGGCTACTGGTAACACAATGACACACACACACACACACACACACACACACACACACACACACACACACACAATATAACAATATATAACGTCAAAAATGCAGTAGAGGCCTAAATCTTGAACACGCTTTTACAAATGTAGGTTTATACAAAACAAATATTAGGCTTACCTAATAATAATTAGTGCATCCAGGGCAGCCAATTATGAATCTACCTGCTGTAGCCGCCTTTAATGTAGGCATCCCTTAAAAAAAAACATTTTACATTTTCTCAATCCCTGCCTCTGCACCTCGCCCCTGTTGATTGACACAAGGAGGCATTCGAATCAATTGGTCTCGTGCCCAACAGTAGTCTCAACCGGATTAGGGCTTGCCCCCCGCGTGCAGATGATAGGGGCGGGAGAGACGTGACAGAAATGAGAAATAGCTCGGTGTTTATGGATGGCTTGGTCCTCCCTGCGCCCGATGTCTCTGGCTCAGCTGCTTCTTTACGATAAAAAAATGTTCTTCTTTTAGGATACTTAATTGAAAAAAAGAAAGATTTTTAACAACTATAACCTACATGAATCATTTTTTCTCACAGATCATTAGCAAAGTCATTATAAATAAATAAAGTAGGCCTAATTGCAAAAAATGTGATAAGTAGTAAATCTTCTATTTTCCTCAAATTCAATGTCAAATCAAACTCAAATGTTGTTTTTCATGAAAAACATATTTCTTGAAGGGTAACCGACTTGAAAATGGTTGCTAGGCGACACATACAATCATTGTGACCGTTACAGGGGCGTTGCTTGCGCTCTTCTATGGTGCTGTGACGATTACTCTTTACAATACAGAGATTTTACATGTGACGCGTTTGTCTTTTTTTTTCAAAAAGAGATAAGGACAAAGAGGACACTTTGGCCTTTTATGTAAAAATATGGATCGACTATGTTTCACAGATATTTTCACTGGTGGTAGCAGTAACTGCCCAAATCAAGTATAACTTGCAAAAATCAGAGTGTAGAATACACAAGTAAGAGTCAAGCATTCATGCAGATTGGACCATTGCAGAATAACATATAGGCTATTATTATTTGATTTAAATTAGTGATGCAGTGTATAAATATCATTTTAATTCAAATGTTAAATGTAAGGCTAATCTCATAACTATTTTATATACTAGGCTACTTCTAGGTATCATAATCTATAATAATCCATCATAATTCATTTGTTGATTATGTTTTGTTTCAATAATGTGAATCTGTAAAGTAACTAGTAACTACAGCTGTAAAATAAATGTATTTGAGTAAAAAAATGTCCTCCTAAAATGTTATAAAATGAAACTACTCAAATTTAAGTACTGTATCTCAAAACTGTACCCAAGTAGGCTACAGTACATTAATAAACGTACCTAGTTACTTTCCACAACTAGATATTTTCAGTGAAGAGTGCAATCACAAATCCTCAAGGCCAACAATACTTTAATATTTTCCTAAAATACAAAAGGTAGGCTATATTTCATCTCATGTGATATTTCAGTGCAGTGTTCTTTGCTACCATACCACCAAACCTAAAATACATAAATAAATGCAGTTGAAATGACTATAAGGGGAGGTGCTAAATGCTATGTTTAAAATGCTTTTTTATCATTTTCAGGGTATTTGGTGCAGCCATTGTCCTAACCTCGACTCTCAACATGTTCATTCCCTCGGCTGCGCGAGTCCATTATGGGTGTGTCATTTTTGTCAGGATATTACAAGGGCTGGTAGAGGTAAGAGACTGTTAATATCCAAAGGTGTGGTATTTTTGTACCTTTCTTCCCTTTAATAAAAACTATAGTGTGTGAAGTAAATACAAAACAGCATTTATTCTCACCATTAACAGAACACAAAGGTTACACGTGTCTGATGTGGGGATAACATCAGGGGATGTGGGAATAACTGGGGATTTGTAGTGATACACTAGACAAAAGGGGCTTACGGCAAATTTTACTCCAGAGCCAAAGGTACTGTAGTGCCGTGCACTGGATATTCAGCCAGTAGAAATATGAGATGAGCTGTACTGATCCAGTCCACTATAGCTGAGTGTTTGTGGGATAGTCCAGTTAATTTTTTACTGTCACACATTATATCCTGGATACACGGCAGCAAAGTGCTTGTATACAGATTGATGAAAAGAAACATGCTGATGTGCAAAAGCACATCAATCCTCTGGCTGTGTAGTGGAACAAGACACCCTGCTGTATAATAAATCTTGGCATGTTCAATGAAATTTGTCTATCATAGTGAAAAATACATAAACATGATACTACTGTTTTTCGATATGCAAATATTATGATATAATATAATATATAAGAGATATCATAAGAGATAATGACATTTTAAGATAAAGAATTATTTAGAAGATCCCCTTTTAGGACAGGGGGAGGTCTGGCTGAGGCTTTTCAATCTTATTTCAATGTTTTCGGGCAATTAGTGTGAAACGCTTAATCATAATGGGAAATAAGTCTTCCATCAGTAGCAGCCTAGCATCCTATAACATGCTGCAGCTCGTTTTAATTGGAAGAAAAAACAATAGTTCTTATACATCTTGTGGAGACTGAATAAAAGCAATCTAATATTATAATCTAATATTTCGTCCAATAAAGACTGGTGGCACTGCACTGCTCTCCTCAATAGCCCATGCATATTGTATTTCACACCAGCATAGTTTGTTCAAATTAGTGACTGATGAACATTTAATAGCTGCAGGGCAGCTTTGCTCCATGAACAGCTCACGAGGTCCTATTTGCTCAGTTTGTTCATGTTAATTACAAGGGTGTAAATGTTAATTTTTATTACTTATTATATGTATTTTGAGAACATTATTTACTTGGGGCAATACTGTGTTGGGTGCAAATTATTGCACAAACCTATACATTTATATTAACATATTGGTAAGTTGAATTCAAATCATCCCATTGGCTCCTCGGAAGACATATGACATGAGCATTGTCCACTCTCACTGAATGCACATTTCCAAAGCAACCCGTTCGTATCCAGAAGACTGAGCGCTCAGAATAATTGGCCAAAGAACATGGTTTTCCAGTCTCTTGCAAACCATTTTTGCATGTTTCTTCACTCTGAATTGATACAGTCTGTTGCTCTGTGATGTGTTTAGGGAGTGACCTACCCGGCCTGTCATGGCATCTGGAGTAAGTGGGCTCCTCCGCTGGAGCGGAGTCGTCTGGCCACCATATCATTCTGTGGTAAATACTCCCTGTTGGCCTTTATAGATTGGGTTCAGAATTGATGTTTTGCATGTTACTATGTTGGTTAAGAAGTTTGAGCTTCCAAGCTTTGACTCCTTCATCTCACTGTCTGTCAGGCTCCTACGCTGGTGCTGTGATAGCAATGCCTCTTGCCGGGATCCTGGTTCAGTATTCAGGCTGGTCCTCAGTGTTCTATGTCTATGGTAAGATTGATCGGTGAGGGCACGCATGTGATACATGTGTGTATTATTGCGCAGGGGAATAGGAGATGAGGTGTAATACGATATATACAGTATTTATACATCAACACATATGTTGAAAAGAATTTATCTGAAGTGTTTTTAAGCTCGGTTTAAACTTTAAGAGTTTGACAGTGAGAGAGTCCAGTGAAAGTCAAATGGATTTATCCAGGCAGACTGTGTATTGATCCCCCCCCCCCCAATGTTTTGGTGTGTCAATAAATAATCCCAGATCTTTCTCTCTGGACTGAATACAGTTAGCTTTCCTGTCTGGGTTTTATTCTCTCGGGCATTTTGGAAAGATCAGGCTATCAAACACTGTGTGTATGTGTGTGCTTACCAATGAGGTCAAAATTAGCTGCAGTACTTCATCTATAATTATCTTAAATTCTGACATGTAATCTGTCTGTGATTTGCAGGATGTTTTGGCATCTTCTGGTATATGTTCTGGATCCTTGTGTCTTATGAGAGCCCTGCTGAACATCCGACTATTACTGATGAGGAACGCTGCTACATTGAGGAGAGCATTGGAGAGAGTGCCCAGCTAGCGGGTCCTTCTGAGGTGAGGACACAGCCTCCTGATAACTAGACTTAAACAATAAATATATATGTTTTTCAATCCTTTGGTACAAGAGGTACCAACACAATACAAAGTTACACTACCATCAGCCATTTCCACCATCTCCTGTCTTTCATCTGAGAGACACAAAAGGCAATGTAAAATCTAATCCTTTGTGATGATCTGTTCCAGAAATTCAAGACCCCCTGGAGGAAGTTCTTCACCTCTATGCCTGTCTATGCAATCATTGTGGCCAACTTCTGCAGGAGCTGGACCTTCTACCTGCTGCTAATCAGCCAACCTGCTTATTTTGAGGAAGTGTTTGGCTTTGAGATAAGCAAGGTGAACTTACAATACAAGTCAGTAGACAAGTGACAGATGTGGAGCATGAATTGTGCAATCAATAAAATTCAAATGATATGGAAAAAAATGCCACAGTAGCGTTCGCATGCTGAGCATGCAACACTTCAAAATCAATGTCAGTGTGACTGTGTTTCCTAAAACAGCCTAGGAAGATCAGCAGTGAATAAAGTAACACCAGGTATACATTACCTCTGCTAGCTATAATACAACACATTAAATGTCACAATTTCTGTTTAGTATTGTACACAGTCCCTTAAAGCCTCTTGAAGCTTGGTTTCATACCAAAATGAACCACTACATGGTGCCCTCAGCTCTCACAGTAGAACAAAAAATGTTGTGTCCATGAGACATACACTACTTTCTGCTAAAAATCTCACAATTCAACTCATCACATTTCATAGCTGCAAAATGAACGGTTGGCCGACACTGTACTTGTCAGTGATGACACAAAGTGATGATGATTCACTAGCGTCTGAAATGTGCATTTACTGCTCACTACAGAATAAATTATTTTGTAAATTAGTTTTTTGGGGAGTAGTGAATGAGGGAATTATTTTATTGTCCCTGATTCAAATGTCACTAAATCTTGAGTGGTGAATGAAAAACCTTTTTCCATCTGAGTCCTGACCACTTCAAACCAGTGAGAGCAGCACAGAGAAAAATACAAATACAGCACTCTCTCATTTGAAAGAACCAAAACTGTCCTAACTTTTGCAGATTATTTTATGTCCATGTAGGAAGAAGCTGATTAAAAAATGATTGTTAGGACCTTTATAATAAATATAAAAATAGATGAAATAGTTTTAAACTGGCAACATCTGTAGTTTGAAAATAATTTTCTACTGTGTTGCCTTAAAAAAGTTTGTTGTGCTGCAGCTTATTCAGTTGATTTTCTGTATGTGGTTGCAGGTCGGCATACTGTCTGCCCTCCCCCATTTGGTGATGACCATCATTGTGCCCATCGGCGGCCAACTGGCCGACTACCTGCGCACCAGGAACATCGTGACAACTACCACTGTCAGGAAAATGATGAACTGTGGAGGTGAGAAGTCGGAGCTGAGAATCATTTTCCACACCTTCTCTCTGCACTGTTACAGGGTGTTATTCTCATGGTGTTGGATCCATTCTGTTCTTTTTTCAGTCACTCTTCACTGCCAGATGGGTTTAAGAGATGCTCCTGTTTGTATTTTTGCAAAAATCCATCTGTTCAATTCTTGTACACAAGTTGAGTTGATGATTGTGACTGCGCATTGATTTTGTATCCGTCACTGACGTAATTGAGTGCAGACCATGTATCATGCTTAATTCAATTGGCACCGCCATGACCAACAGCCCGTGGGTTTGTGTGTTTTTGTGCGTTTGTGTGTGTGTGACCTGCTGTCTCTCTCTGTTAGGATTTGGCATGGAGGCCACATTGCTGCTGGTGGTAGGATATTCCCACAGCAAAGGGGTGGCCATCTCCTTCCTGGTGCTGGCAGTGGGCTTCAGTGGATTTGCTATATCAGGTTAGTACAAGTAAAACACACATTATCAGCTCATTCAGAACGTAAGTTAAGTACAATTTAGGATATAATGTACTGTAGCTGAAATGATGGGATCACTGTTAGTGGGCAGCTATACTGGATTTAATGTAGTGTGCCTCTGTATAGTTTTCACAACAGAGGGGCAAGAGGATTTGCGATTAAAGAGAAGGTTAATAAGCCACATTTGATTTGAATGGGATATATACATATGAATATGTAGAATACCTTTCACAACAACAGTTTACTGAACTGTTTCTTGGTGTGATTTTCACTTTGTAAATAAAGTGAACAATGAAATTCAGAAGTGTAGTTAAAGAAACGCTCTCATTTCCTTTCTTACTGAGGTGAAAAGATTTATATCACTCTTATATGAACATGAGGCTACAGCCAGGAGATGGTTAGCATAGCTTCACTGTAATGACTGGGAACGGGGAAAGAGCCAGCCTGTAGCTGTCCAGAGGTTTGAAAAAAATATATATAACAAAACAAAACAAAACCAAACAAAACCAAACAAAAAAAACAGCAATTGTAAAGCTTTGTATTGTAACTTCTTTAAGTCACAGAAAGTTGTTGTGGTATTATGGGGGTGTCGTGTGCTGGAATATTTCTTGGCCGGAGGCACTGACTTCCAAGAAGACCTCTCTTACATTTGGACAGAGCCAAGCTAGCAGTTTCCCTCCGCTCCCTGTCTTTATGCTAAGCTAAGATAAGCTAACCATCTCCTGGCTCCATCATATTAACTGTAGAGACATCAGAGTGGTATCGATCTTTTCATCTTACTCTTGACAAGAAAGAGAACATATTTCCCAAAATGTCAAACTACTCCTATAATTTAGCAGTTGATAACAGACTGTTGCTGTGTCATTGCAGTTGTTTATCATTTAGTAATTTATTTATTATTTATTTGACCACTGGCTCAGCTGTGAGTATTATTATATTATGATATTATAACAAACGTTTAAATGTATTTGAAATTACGTAGTTTTGTCAATGTCGCGAGCACCGGTGTGTTTGCTGTTATTTGATAATATGATGTTGCAGATGCATGTATTACTCTAGAGTGCTATTTTTCCAAATTTTTCACATCATTCAAATAACACCAGCACAGAGCTTAATCAAACTTAGCTGTGTCGCTAAACACTTCTTTATAACATCATTTTTCAGATATCAATCATGCCACATTTTCACTTGCTGGCAAAATCAACCTTTCAGCTTCCTGCTGCCGTTTATTCAACAGATCTTTTATGTTTATGCTTGGCTACAGAGGATGCAGAGGTCTGTGACTGAGAGCAAAATCAGTTTCTTGCCCGTTGTTCTTGAGCCTTCTCCTGGAGTGTTTAATAATTCAGTGCTAGCTGTCCTGGGGGATTTGCCGGGCAGCCGGCAGCTCGGCGAGGACACTTACTCATTCAGCCAGTCAGAGTGGGGGAGGAGGAAGATGTGTGGCAAGTTACTGCCTATTACTCCAACACGATGGTCACCACTTGCGCTGCTTTTATCCACAACTATGTCCTCAATCTGTTGCTCTTATTACTTACTTACACGGTCACAGTGTTTCCTTCTTTTGTCATAATTCACATGGTTAATTTTATCAACAATATTTTAATGTAACCCTTTTTTTTTTTTCTTTTTAAATCCACTAGGTTTTAACGTCAATCACTTGGACATTGCGCCACGTTATGCCAGTATCCTAATGGGCATCTCTAATGGTGTGGGTACCCTGTCTGGGATGGTGTGCCCACTGATTGTTGGTGCTATGACAAAGAATAAGGTAAGGTCTTTTCCCCTTCAGGCTCCAAACATTACAAACATAATAAAGATCCTCTCATTTCATATGTGAGCAATAAGTCTTAAAGGAGATCTAAATAAATTGGCAACACTTTATTTGAATTATTTGTAAGCAATATATACAGTATACATTGTTTAATACACAGTTTGTAAACTATAATGTAGTTGTAAGCAGATCCAAGTGTTCATTAATGTACTTGACAACAACTATAAGTCCTCCTGTGAAGCATCCAAGTCTTCATAATTGCTCACAAATTCTGTTCTTTAAAAATGACCATATAGCTACATACAACTACATTACAGTGTGTTATAAATCATTTATTAAATGTTTATGTTATGAATGTGAAATACGTTAGATGTTCCCACGAAGGCTCATCAATAAGTGCATTTATTGTTTTCAGCAGCACTTTTATCTGTCTGGTCAATGCGTACTCCCTCTATGTTGAACTATACTAGATTGTATAGACATTTTAACAGTTCATAATAGGTAACACGGGCTTGTTGATTTTGGGACCCGATGCACTAACAAAACATGGAGAACATTATAAATTTCAGTGACTGTAAAGCTTTATTCATTTTTTGTTAAAAATGTACTACTTAAGTTAAGCTTGACTTAGGGTATCATAATATTACATTAGTGCCTAGTGTAGTTGTTGCAGATGGTAAAAATATGTAATTATATAGGCTACATGTATTATTCATTTAGCCTATGAATTATAGATTAATTTAGTCCTTTAACATATAGTTTCTGCTTTTGTTTAGCCTCAAGAAGCTTGAATGTTGTTAATATATCATCTTATTCCAAACTGTGTGATGGTACTATATGTACTCTGTATCAGCTTTTATAAAACAGCTGGGAACTGTAGTTTTTAAAGCAATTTACTCAAACAGGAGGAAAATGTGCATTTGTTGGGGACTATTTTCAGCTGCGTATTAACACACATTTAGTGCACTGGTGAGTATTTGCAGCCACAGGACAGTATGTGTTCATGATAATGAAGGAACATGTCGCCCAGTCCAATGGTGTGGCTGCTTTTAACCAGTTTTGCACAATAATGTCTACAGCACACAAGGAATCCTTGTTAGCAGGATCAATTCATTATTGTTTTAAGTTATTTTCATGGGATTTGTTGATGATAAGAAAAATGAATAGTTTTTCTATGTTTTCATGTCCTTTTCAGACTCGAGAGGAGTGGCAGTATGTGTTCCTGATTGCCTCCCTGGTGCATTATGGGGGCGTGATCTTCTATGGGCTCTTTGCTTCGGGGGAAAAACAGCCGTGGGCCGACCCAGAGCTGACCAGTGAGGAGAAGTGTGGCTTCATCGATGAGGACGAGCTGGCAGAAGAGACAGGCGACATTACTCAGAGTTATGGTGCTTTTGGAGGTCCAGCTAAGACGTACGGCGCGACCACCCAGGTAAATGGAGGCTGGGCTGCCGGCTGGGAGAAGACAGAGGAGTACGTCCAAGAAGAAGCACAGGGAGGAGGCTACGGATACAGGCAGGATGAGGGATACTCCTAGACCAAACACGCATTCACTGACATGAGTAGACTTCATTTCCTGAGTGTGCTTCAGTTTAGTCATGAAAAATATCAACAAATGAGAAACAAGAAAACTACAATCCATTGTTGTATTGTTTGCACAAATTCTAAAAAGAAAATCTAAAAAATGATCAACCTACTGTAAAAATTACTCAAATATATAGAAAATTTAAAAATATTTGATTAATAGAGGTGTAACACATATCAAATTGGCAGTATGTAAATGTATTATTATGCATATTGATAATAGATATATTTATTTGGAGTGCAATCGTGTGTAGACGTGAACATTTTCATCCCCATCAGCCAAGGCTTCCTGTCCACACTGAAGCCTGTAGGGTTACATAGAAGCTGTCCATCAGAGCCAGCCCCTTATTTATAAAAATTAACTGTTACAGTCCGACGTCCTACAAGCCAGCCATTACAGTGTATGAATATGTCACTGCACAGCATTGTAAACAGAAACTAGACACTCTGTTGATATAGATTGTACTGTATCTCTCCTGAATGCACTCAGAGTAGTGTGACCTCTTAATGCACAATATGATGATTTTTGTTTTCTTATCCACGGCTTCTTGTGTGTGTAACTTTACGTCCTTGACATGTAAGTGACCTGCTGTAGAGATTTGATTTGAGAGTGGCGTAACGACTTGTGATGACTGTTTGGTTACACTTTGCTATATGTGATCCATTTTGTACCTCTGCCATTAAGAGTTTCAGTTTAGCATTTAGCGATCCGCCACATCTCAGCAGTGTAGTGCAGGAGTAAAGCCATTCTCATTATCATACTCCATGTTACTGTTAAGCCACAAAAAGTCTAGTTGTACCAATGCATTGTTGAAAGACTTGTCTTAAATAAAACATATGAAAGAGATACATGAAGGAAAAAAATAACATAAGAATAAATAAATAAATGCAGAAAGACAATTAAATACATAAATACATTTTGGTAAAGAAAAATACTATTTCTGTACATTAATCTAGTCTTTCTCCCCCCTCTTCCTCCTCTCTCCCCCATTTCTCTCCTCTTTACTCGCCCAGGCGGGACATGTTAAGTCTGACAGAATCGGACTCAGGGTGGGCGCAATCAGGGTGTTGGGGGTTAAAAGAGAGATACTCCTGTCCACTGTCACCAAGTGGTTTGCTCGTGGAGGGAGCTGTTGGGTTTCTCTCTATAATATTGTAAGTTTACTCTGTAAAGTGCCTTGAGATAATGTATTATAAGATTTGGCAAAGAATCTGTGTACCAGTCAAGTCAAGGCACCCAATCGATTACACCACTATAACCAGTCTGGTGTTAGACTGAGGTAGGACCGCCTACCTAATTAACATACAGACCCATAAATAAATAAATGTAGAGAAATCTAGAAATCCACCAATAAATAAATGAGTAAATACATAAATGATTATATAAATGCAGAAATACAGAAATGAATAAATAAATGTAATTTTCATTATCAAAATGTATTTATTTATTCATTCATACTTATGTAATTTTTTGTCCTTCATAGAGATAACTATAGGTGCAAAGAGTAAAGATGTGTAAGAGTTTAAAGATAAAAATTCAATATTGTTCGAGAAGAGATTCATGGTCATACACGACCTTAAGAAGAGTTTGTGCAATAAAGACTGAGAAATTACGGACCAGCCGAAGTCAATATGAGAGTCTTATCATATTAGAGCAGCAAGCCTATATGTTTAAAATATTTACATGATAAAAGGGATAGGTGTGTAATTTTTAATGTTAAAGCCCCTGAAAACTAAGTATTTCTCTATAACATCCAATATTTAAATATTTCTAAAGAAAAAAAGAACACACAATAACTCTTTGCTCATTCTGCTTCATCAGGACTTTGTGGGTTTGGTTTGAACAAATTTGACTGACAGTGACAAAACCCATCAACCATCAAATCAGATTTAAATGTTGCTAAACTCAGCTGAGCTCCGCCCACTGTGAACCAGTGAATAGAACAAAAAAATGAATGAAATTATGAAATAACCAAAACTGCTAACTTAAACAGAAATTGGTTAAAGTGAAAAGCTGAGAAAATACATTTTCAGGGCCTTTAAAGCTAAAGGGATAAGACTTAAAAATGTCAAATGACATTGTAGAAGTTAAAGTGAACATTCCCAAACAAGTATTTGAATGTTTACGTTTATCTATACTTTGCATAGAGTTCACCAAAACAGGATATTTACAGTTATTGAAAAGATACACTACGAAAGGCAATCGCAAATGTGTGCAATTTGGACAGCCATTTGTCCATTTCCATTACAGAACAGAACTGATGAGACATTTCATGAACTAATGTATAATGTAATGACCTGTCTTTACTGAATGAAAAGTGTTTCAGGCTCCTCAATGGGAGGAACCAAGTGAACACGTCCTATCTTCAGGATCTGTTTTGTTCTCATTCTGCACTTACACTGACTGACAAGGTCTGAAGGGGCCAATTTGGTTAATTTTTCACTGTCTGTGGAGACTTTAAGTCAGCACTTCACAATATAGATGTGCGTGGATGTGTATTTATGCATGGAACAAAGTGAAATTTGTAGTATGTCCTTTTGTTTTTGTTCCCTTTTCTTTCAAACTTCTTTGTCTTTGTCTCAGAAACTGTTACTGATGCTTCAATTTCTTTGCACAATTAACCAAAGGTGAAGAGCAGAGCTGGGTTTTAGCTGGAAGTCACATATTTTTAAAGGTAGTACAGACCATCAGCAGCAAAGTTTCAGCTTACGGCCCCCCAGTGTGCAGGTGGCACCAAACATTACTCAGTGTACAAAGCAATAAATCCATAGTAACAGTTCTGGTCAAACGTCATGAACAGTCATTATGTAACTGTTTTTTATGCATTTGTTTAAAAGTCGTGTTTTTTGTGATAACAAATGTAGAAAATAAACACTTAAAGAAAAAAAGCATTGAAATATACTGTATGTATGAAAATATAGTAATAGAGTCCAACACAAACGTCTTTGACAACAAGAAAGTGCAAGGAGTTTGTGACAGGGCTGCTCACCAGATGAGAATGATAAAACGAGCTCCGTCTGAGAGGCGGGCGCTCGTCTTCATGTTTCTGTTTTAGTCCACATGGATATCTCTGTCTCTCTCTCTCTCTCTCTCTCTTCTCTCTCTCTCTCTCTCTCTCTCTCTCTCTCTCTCTCTTCTCTCTCTCTCTCCTCTCTCTCTCTCTCTCTCTCTCTCTCTCTCTCTCTCTCTCTCTCAGGTTTTAGTTTGATTTTCATGTTTATCATTAAGTGGCTGGACCCTCGTTGCCCTACTTAACCACATGTACCTCCTCCTCCCTCTGTACACCCCTGATTTCATTGTAACAAGATTCATCGAAGTTATGGATGAAACTTAACCAAGTGATTCAACATTTTCAAAAATGACAAATGTGCAACCTGAAGTAGTTAAAAGTTTCCTGTTTTTGTGCCTCTGAAGTGTGATTCTATGGCTTCTGTTGCTGTGTAAATTGAGAGGTTTGTTGATGTCAACATGAAATACTCTATATCCTTTTTGATAAAAAAAAAAGCAAACAAATTTGTGTGTGTCCTGAGTATTTGTATTGGCAACAAAGGAAGACCATTCAAGAAACTAGTCTGTACTGAAGAACATGACAAATTATGTATTTACGTGTTGTTATTAACATTTAACACACATGGTGAAGCAAAGAGTTGCTACACATCCAGCAGTTATGGAGTGATTGATTTGGAGTCCAGTTTCTGATCAATTGGCAAATATAACTCCAATATTCACTCCCTTCTAGCTGTTTTTGGTCTCTAATACTTAATAGTAGGCCTACACAAAAATATGCACCTTCTACAGTGTACTACAAATCTAAGCGGAGTTATAGAAAACTACACGATCATTATCAGTGATCCACAAAAAAAGCTAATGCCATAGAATAGCAATATGGCCAAGTGCAATATCCAAATCGTAGGAGCTGCAATTTCTTTCTTCATTTTTATCACCATAAGAATTGTTGTGCTATAGAGACAGATCATATTCTCCAGGAACGTGTTAGTTTGGTACAAGACCAAACAAAAATCATCACCATTTTTTTATTTTTTTCTGTGTGACATGCAAAAATGACTGTTCCAACAGAAATCACAGTTGCATATTACAATCAATCTGCCAAAATAAATATGAAAAGTTAAAAGGACCAGAGCATGAAGGTGGAGAACTAATACACGCTGAAGAAAGAAAAGACAAAATATTTGTGCATTTTTCTCAGTTTACGTTTCTGTAAGGCCAGACAAAATACGTTACCCTGCACTTTGTGGTAAACATGACAGATTTCATATGCTAATTATATGCAGGATGTAAAAATTTTCATTTATGAGGCCTGATTTCCAAAGCATGCATCATGTTGCATCTCAATTGGTTGTTTCTCTATCATATATTGTGAAAGAGTATGTTGAGAAAATTCACAACATACAATAAGAATTTAATTTACTAAAAAAAAAAAATATGGGCTCAGTGTGTAATATAATTACAGTGGGGTTTTCAGTAGACTGAGTCTTAGCTGTTCCACCAAGGCCACAGGAAGTGCAGAGTTAATGGCTGCCCTCCTTCGCTGTCGGTGAAATCAATAGGGTAAGTCCCCAGTGTTCGGCTGGACCTATTGACTGTTCTAACCTCTTAATGGAGATGAGAGGGAGGAGGAGCACTTACTGAGCTATTTGGAGGTGTTATTTCGATTTAGGAGCCGACCCCTACCTCCACCAACAAAGCTTCGGTGCTCAGTTCTCACAGATGGTCATCAGAGGAGATACCACCAAACAAAACACTACACCTGAGCCTGAGTAAAGATAAATTATATTTGTTTCTTTCATGTAAATGAATCATTGAGATAAAAGTTTTTTTGCGTGATGGGTCCTCTTTTTGTATTTCCTATAGTCTGGACACATCCTTCGGGCAGGAGTTGCACTGACCCAAGAGTGATGTTTATCAATTGACTTTTCCTGTATCATTATTATCAATGTCAGTATCACTCCATATCCTATTTTTCAGTTTTCATAACTATTATGTTGCATATGTAGTGCACTCTGGGAATTTCTTTTGGTCTAATATGCCTCAGCAGAGTGCTGTTGATGGGTCAGGTTAAGTTCAGTACAACAAATTTTTTCAACAAAATAATAATCTTTATCTCATAAATCTTCACATATCACACCTCAAAATGTGCCCTATACAAAATGGTTGAGAAAAGCATTAAGCGTCAAAGAAAGACTTGGCCGAGAGGGCAGCCTTCTTTAGTTATGTCTTCTGACTAATTGTGCTCACTGTTCTACTACAAGAAAAACATCTACTTCCTGTTATGACAGCACAGTCATGAATGAAAGATTAAAACTAAGATCCAACAATAATGATTACAAGGCGTCCTGTTACATGGGATCATTTACACACAGCCAACGATATAGTGCTGATATCAGGGCTGATAAATATGACACAAAAAATACACCTTTACCTCAGAAAATGTTTTTGGCTACACAAAGTGTCCACAAAGTCAGTGTCTAATTCATAAAAGCCACTGGTTGATGTGTTACTTCTAGTGATCCAGAATCTTCTCAACCTTTTAAGCCTGTTTTTGACCAGAGAGGAAATATTCAAGTCCTCCTTTACTCAGAAATGTGTTTCACTAATTGTTACCTCACTTGGATTGTCAACCTGAATAATGTTTGTACACAGTTTGACACTTGAAGGCTGTTTTCACATTCATCTGCTAAAGGGGGAATGATTCTCTGTGCTCACTAAAAACCTGCATTTAATGAGTACATTTTTAAGCAGGACTTTTTGACGTCAGTTTGGAAACCACCAATCGTGGTCCAGTATGCAACTTACACAAGTGTCACACACACACACACACACACACACACACACACACACACACACACACACACACACACACACACACAGATAATTGTCAAGCAGGAGAAAATCGTCTTTCTACTCATAATTCCAATTTTGTAGAAAAGCCAAACAATGCACAAATTCCTATTTAATGCAAAGTATTTTTTATACATATTAAACATGTCTAAAAAGGGTCTTTAAATAATTTACAAAATGCTATAGATATATATAATTCATAAATATTAATGTAGGATCAAGGGTATAAGATAATGATAAATGGCATAATTTAACACATACAGCAGACGTCTCATATCTTTCCTCTGTATTTGAGCCTTGCTGTCTGTTTTTAAAGTCGTTTTGTATGGATTCCTGCACTGTGCAGAGCGGTGTTAGTAAAGTAAAATTCAGACCGCATTTTCTTTCCTAACATCACTGACGTCAAACAGCTCTGCAGGAGCTCTGAAAAGCCCAAGGTGACACAGAGATCAGTGTTTGATTGATGCACAACTTCTGCATCAGGTGATATTAAAAACATGCTCTGTG